TTACCTGGCAGTAGTAACTTCTTCGATATTATTCAGCGATACTTCAGCGAAACGGAAAAGGACCCGAACTGATACTTCTGTATAGGCGTGTGCGAATGATATACACACGCCAGGCTTCGCATTGTATTATCGAATACGCTGACCGGTCGAACGAAGTTAGCCACAATCGGCCACAATTAATGTTTCGTACGTATTTGATTTGATATGAGCAGTGGTAGGTAATTTTTAGTGTGATTATTTTGTAGTGGGCCAATCGAGGCCAGCCTATTCGTTGATTTCAAGTCCCTTCTAAATAGTCGTGGTAGTAATAAGCTAATGGTAGTGGAAAATATGGCCGCTTCGCTGATGCTCAATACGGCGAAAGACAACAGTTGCATTATCAGCGGCAGCAACAGCGGAATCGGGACGAATAATGCCAACAATGGCTTCACTAGGAACCACAACAACGATAAGAACAAGCAGCACATGCTCGACCCTCCGACCAACCCCCGGGCTGCGGCAACGCCAGCAAAGACGCCGCATCAAACGCTAGGATTCCTTTTTATTCGCGATAGCTGTGCGCCATCACAGGACGCTGTCGTAGTCTGCCACTGTGTCACGTCTTGTGTGCGTCCCATTAGCAATAACAGGTACAGCAGAGGCGTCCACCCTGGCAAGGTTAGCCTACAAGCCAACGGCATCCGATCAATCCGAAAATCATCCGGGAATTTCACTGCTTTCGGAGCAACGAAGTGGCATGACAACAGACCTGGCCACTTTGCACTTAATCTCTAGTCTCTTGTCGTTGCTGCTGAGGATTCTTGTCGACTTTATCTGAGCCAGCAAAAGATACATGCAGGTACATGTGTACTTATGGCAACCATAGTTGAGCGATAAGTTGCATTGCCAATTCGTAACGTCCTACAGTCGTTACGATGTAGATGGTCCTATGCAGTGCAGAATTATTGGCTTGTATTGATGGCAAACAAGTGTTGCATGATTTTCGATTTGCCCACAATTTGCTTTGCTCAAATAGAGATCTTCTTAGTTTAGCTTCGGTCTTTTTCCTTTTTGTACGGGGTGTCTAGTATTTACGAAAACATTCGCTTCGCTTGTTATTGTCAAGCAAGTGTCTGTGACTGTATCCCCCTGTCAGCAGCCGTAGACTAGCGAATAACAAGGTATGAAAATGCGTTGTCGTGCATTAAACCATAATTGCACCACAACCGCTAGTATACCCTAGTCAACAGCAAATGTCATCATCTGTTCTCTAATCTCCACCTTGTGTGACCCATAAGCGGCCTAAAGGTGTACTGCTGTAACAACAAAACCAAGCGCAAACCCAAAACAGTCGGCCAGGCCTGGTGAATACAGCTGTCGTATGTCTCGGATCAAGTCGTTATATACTAGTTACAACCATTTCAGCTGCTGTTGAGGTCGCTTCTAGTGGTCGTTCGATGGGTAGTTTGTCTTCCGTGGCGATGATCCCTGGCGCCTACCGGTTTTGCCGGTGCCCATCGTGTCTTTTGCGGTTCGGCTGCGCCATAGAGTTGCGTAGGATGGTAGCGTGTTTGTCACCCCTTGGAACCCATGTATCCTATGTATGAACAACAGCACAAATAGTGGTCTGCGAACGAACGCCTTTTCCCCACTAGTTTTACCCGAAAGCTGAAACGTCTACAGCTTAATGATATACGTACAGATTGACAACGTACGTAAACTGAATAATTATGCAAGCTTGCCCGTTCTTCATTGGTGCAAAAACAACTGCTCAATCGATACGGCAGCAGAATTGCTCTTCTCGATACACATATCATACCCTACGTTATAGTTCTTTCTGTAAATTTTGATGCAAAGTACTAATTCGCCGGTCCGAACTATGCCAACAACCATCGTCAGAGATAGGTTTTTAAGGTTATATGGGAAGCTATACCCCAAAACTTGTATCGAATCCCGTACCAAACTTACTTTAAATCAACGAAAATCTGCCAAACTCATTTTTGCTTGTTGCTTACAAATGACGTTCTACGCATATATAATACAACATTTCCTTCCAGAGCTAACATGCTGATATGATTTAAAATCTTTCTGCCCGACTTTTTCCCCAAGTATTATACATATGTATGTTGCTTCTGAACGAAACGAAAAGACTTTTCGTCTGCCATTTACAGGGACCCACACTGCGCGGATCAGTAAAGATATAGGTGTGGAGTAACCACGTGTCACATGAGATGTCACGGTAGACATGCTCGTGGGGCGCGCGCACTGCAGTGCATATTTAGCTTTTGCTAGTTGAATAGACGCTCGCGTCTTTTTTTTTCGCTGAGGCAAAAGGTCATCGTTTCACGAATGTAGAAGTAGTGGTATGGGGTAACATCTTAATCATGGCACCCCAGCGCCGTTCGTAGGACAGCATGTAATAGCTGAATGTGACTACCAATCCAACCTGTAGTATTGGTATCTCGTTTCACCTTCATGTATTATGGTGATCTTTTGTGCTATGGCCGTGGGCCTGAATACAATTCTTGTTCTTTCGACAAGCCTTCTGCTGCGTGATGCTCTAGTGCTATTTGAACACGACGTTAAGGGGAGTTAGAGGATAAGCGAGTTTATGCGTCGCCTCATATCAAAACGTAAACGCATTGACAATGACCCAGCGTTTGGTCCCTGGACCCTACAGCCGTTCGGGAAAGAAGGCGGAAAATTTTTCATATACACTGGAAAATCTTTGTCATGATCAACGAACAGGTTAGATACGTACCAACGTACAACAATGACATGTGCTTAACGTGACATCTGGTTCTGGTACCCAGACATTCTGTGTCTGCTCACCTGGGTGCAAGTATAAACGTTCCGTAACAAGTTCATTCCTCTATTCTGGTAGGTGAAAAAAAAACCAGAAATCCGTTAAGGGTATGCTCGACAAAATATGGTATAACGCTTGTTGCAGTCGCAGCTATGATATATATGCCTATATTGAAATCCGTACTTCTATTAGTTTTTCCTGTAAGTACACGTCAAATAAACAATTTATATTGGCACTATGAGAGGCTGTACTATGACGAAACAAATCTACGAAGATTTCGGAAGTTGGGTTCGAATTGCTGCCGACTCTCGTTATGCATCATGGATCCCGCTGGCTCAGCGACGCGCCAAACTAGACTAGCGGCAATGTATGCTTGTAAACATGTTTGTAGCGCAAACTGGCTACGTATCACTCGCGTCCGACTGGTCCATTGGCCGTATGAGACTGCGCACGCGACAATCACTTAGGCCGAATAGGTATAGCCAGGTTATTTGTTTTCATTTGGTCTATGTCGATGCTTTATTGATAACAGGGCGCCTTTTAGATCATTCAAACACTTTCGAATGAATAGTTGGGACTAAGCCTTACTATGAACAATGAAGACCTGACGACGAGCGACAAATTAACTAGTCTGTTAGATAGGTCTGAATCTTTATCGCTTCCACGCAGAACGATGATGGCAGTAATAGCGACAGTAGAGCTACGTAGTATAACTCCGATATCTACAAAGTTTAGCAGAAATGACTCAGCGTAATCAGACATTTATGACACTGGCTTGCGTGGCCAAAGCTGGGAGAAGTTTCTAATACGATACAGTAGTTGGAATACTAGCAGTAGCAACGTCGATGTTGTTCTTCCATCTAGCTACCACTATTCGCTTCATCGGCCGTTGGAGTGATTCAACCCACGCCTTTTCAATACGAACGAGAAACAGCAGACTTCTAGCAGGAGCAACAACATCAGCTACGATTATAGATACCGTAGCTCCACCATGACAGTGTCAATGATAAAGCTGCCGTCGAAGAAGTAATCGTTGACACACTGGCGTTAGCTGACCAAGAAGCAACGTTTGCATGACGCCTTGTCTTCAGTCATGGCGCGAATACAGTGGCTTCGTAGAGTTGTCGTGCTTCCAGCTCGGAACGGAACAGCACCGCCTGCTCAACGTGGCGGTCCTATACATTATTGCCTAATCCCTGTTGCAGATATATAGATGTGCTGGCAAGCCGACGTGTGTTTGAGAAGACGTGTTGCGTGCTGAATGTCGCATTACGGTTAGCATCATTATTGGGCTACAATCTTCCGCGACTTGGCCTCGCATGGCCATCGGCCGTGGTTCCATGATGGGGCTCGTTGGTGGTGATCATGACGGTGTCAGTTATTAGTTAACGGAACCAGTTAGCTGTTAGGCAGCGCGGACGAAAAACGGTAGAACAAAGCATCAGCGGAACCATCGGTCAAGAGGAAAACGCCCGAAAAGATACGGAGGCTGTAGTTACGTGTTGCCTCGATAAACTACCAACATGCACGTATGCGCATATCGATTTATACATACAACAATGTATATGTCGTCAACAGTTGTTGCGGACCGATGCTTATTTATGGGGGAACGGATCGAGGGGGTGGCTCAATAATTTCTGCGTATGTCTAAATGTAGCAGCGAGACAAGTGCGAATGTTCGTACATGAGATGTTTAGAAAATGGCATCCCCCAAGAATGTCCACGGTGTGATAACCTTAAGAAGGAGGAGAGGTCGATGAAAGGACTAGGTCAAAAGCGAGAAGAAAAACAAAACATGGCGGAAGTCAAAATGAGCTATGCATTAATTGTATATAATAATTAGTAATTGAAAGTAATGGCCCATTAATAGACGTCGCTCGATGACAAATAATGTAAGATCGTCATCTAGTGAACCGAAAGTCACGATAAAGCAAGGGCGGAAAAGCAAGTTGAATAACGCGCAATAGATGCTTTTATATACGTTTAACTTGTACGCGGACAGAAGTTAGCTATCATTACTATTTAGTATAATTATACACAGTACTATTATTGTGAGTAATATTCATATCAATGCTGAACAATCGGACCGATCAGATTCAGAACAAAAAATGGTTCGTTCGGGGGTGTTCGTTCCTAGACATTTTGGTCAGCCTTACCGCATATCAAATTCCTGACTGAATAAACGCCAATAACATATGTTATTTTTTTTCTACAGGCTGAGGGAGATCTGGCCGCCCTAAATCGTCGCATTCAGCTTCTCGAGGAGGATCTCGAACGTTCTGAGGACCGTCTCAAGGTTGCTACTGCTAAGCTCGAGGAGGCCTCGGCTACCGCCGATGAGTCGGAACGGTACGTAATACCGCTTGATAATAAACGTTACACCAGTCATAGAGCAGCATTCTGACCGCGTTTTAGCCCAACGTTCTTAGCACACAACGAGACAATAGGATTTCCAGTCTCAACACCTCAGTGGTTTAGTTGAATCTAGTTATAAACGTTCATAGTTCCTTTTAATCTTCAATTAGCCCACAGCATTGTCTCGCCACAATCTGTTAGCCCAGTCGCAGAACTGCTTATAGAAAACAACAGCACGATGTGTGTCTAATAACATTCTATCTTTGCGTGTGTATCTGTTCGATGTAACGTTAAAAAACCACAGTGAACGTTTGGAAGTTGACTAATAATTATAGAGCTTTTGCAACCTGCATTTTTATTAGGTTTCTTTACGATAGTAATGCTACTGCTATTCCTTCTACAATGTATTTTGATATTTTCCCAAGATTGTAAAATCTTCATTTCAAGCTATTTTGTAATACTGTTGATAGTCGGAATATGGATAGTTTAACAGTCATATCGGATGCTTTTTCTAGTACATGAGTTCACTCCTGCGTAGGCCTCTCCGTTCGTCTGTCGATTGGTCTGTCCACCCGCCCACCTGCCCGTCCAGGATATTCATAATTAAAAAAAGTGCGCGCGGCGTCGTAGACGTATCAGCAGTGCCGTCGCTGTTCACAGTTGGCTATTTCTCAAGGCTGGTACCTTGGTGACTTTTTGGATTGTAGCTATTTACTGCCCAGACTGATCTCAGACTTTCTGCCAGTAGCTGGGCCCCCTATTGGGTGGCTGGCTGGCTGGCTGGCTGGCTGGCTATTGCCCCCCAAAAAAAGCTGTCGTGTTGGTTTTGGTATCGACGGCAGCAGCAGTAGTACCCGTGCTAGCACGTCGCGGAAGGCAGTAATGCTTATTTCAATCGAAGAGAATAAACAAACAGCCTCTCTGTGTCGGTAACCGTTTTTGGAGGCCTTAACGTTTTTGCCGGACGCTGGGGAGTCAACAATATGTTCTATGTATACTCACTGACGCAGTCATCAGCTAACATACGACATGCGCAGCCAGTACATACGATTACAGCCCACGTTCAGCCTTCGTATCGTGGCGTGATTTGTACGCGAACAAATCGATGATGGCAGTGAACGTGGTGAGACAGCCCAACCGAAAAGGATGAATGGACGCGCTTGGGGTAGCCTAATGGGGAGTTCTTACCTATCAAATCAGCCAAATCTCGTTCACGTATCAATAATAATGGGTTTGCGTTTTACGGCGAACGGACCAGGAAACAAAATGGAAAAACGTACAGACATTTAGAAAAACCCTTTCTTACTTGAATGTTTTGTCAGTGTTGGCTTGACATTTAATACCAACTATTTAAATTTTACCATATTTTCAACTTCTATCTATTATAGATGAACTTCACCTATTGCCCACTAGTATTTCCTAAAATATCATGCAAATATATTCAAGTATAATTGGTTAAATTAAACTAAGACGATAATTTATCGCGGTAACAGCAAAACGACCTACGACAATTTGTAGTAAGAAACGGTTCAATCTATTTAAATCTTTCTAACAATTTCTATGTTTCGTTTGCTTAACGGCCTGCTCATTTGCGCCACCATGGGGGCGCAAATCTTCGCGTGTACCAATCATCTCAACGTGTGCGCTTCCGCACCCCATTAACCCGCGTTCTTTCTGCCCTCGTTGCATTTCACATTGCCCCACAACTTCTATATCCTCAAACTCGTAATCCTTCGACTCAACTCCCCGCCTCTTCAAAACCTTTGTGATCCACCCGTCCCACCTAAATGACCTCTTGTGTGTGGTGATGTGCTGTCAATCGGCTGTCTTCGTTTCGCGTGGCACGTACACAGCATCCGTAAAGCATTGGAAAACAGAACTAACATGGAAGATGAGCGAATCAACGCGCTTGAAGGAGAACTAGGCCAGGCGCGACTGATCGCAGAGGAGAGTGACAAAAAATATGAGGAGGTACGAACCGTCATCGAACAGCTCACCATTACTTTAACTAATCATTTGACATCTACAACAAAGGCTATTACAACAATTAGAAAAAATTGAACGAATTCATTATAATGATATTACATTATTCTTATTATCTAACAGGTATACTAATTGAGCAGCTACAGTAGTAGTTATCCTTAGTTCTGAGTTTAGAACGATCATAAACGTTCTGTCGCGTAGCCGTTGAAGAGACCCTATAAAAAGGATCTTCAGTGTGGCCACCACGTTGACAGCTCATTTTGTTTGTCGAACAAATTATAGATGGGGCTAATTGAATAATCAATGGAAAAACGTGACGCCACAAATTGTCATTTCAATTTTTGTAATTAGTTCAATTTCATTTCGTTACAGACAGATCTACCAAAAATACTTTACATTAGCCACTGAGTGAGCACCTTCTCCTCAGAATCTGCGAACAAACCAGCCCGGCTGGGCCTATAATATCGATATGTTCGACTGTCGAAATTCGTCATACGAAAAAACTGATCCAAATTGTAGTAGATGAAGTCTAGGGTGAATAGGGTACTCGCGTATGCGTACGACGACCAGTTGCAGAGAAAATCTGGTTCCACTGACCCGCTTTTAGTGTGTGCTCTGGTATGTTGTCTCCTATCCGATCCGATGCATTACAAATGCCGGCAAAAGTCACTTACTATCTCCTGCCCCACATTAACCATTGTCAATCTGTATTCGAGAAACCATTGCTACTAACGAGACAGACATGCTAAACTTGTGAGGGAAACACAGCCACAGATCTCGATTTTTTTTTGCCGATGTCAGTAAGGGTCTTCGATCGATCGTACTTGACGCCCACTCGTAAATAGTTCACGCTACTGCTGGTTCTATGTTCATGAACTTGCGTGAAAAAATGTCATTGTCTAATCGTACACACACACATACACATATATATACTAGCTTTTATGCATAGACTCTTAAAAGAACGCCAATGTCCAGCAAAGATATGCTACAGAGCAGAGGCCAGCGGATCTATAATTATGCTTAGGAACATCATCAGCACTTAATCCATATTGAATGTGAGATACAGGAGAAAGATGTCGCAAATTGCCATGTTAGCGTTAAACGTGTTGGCAATCTTCCATCTACACAGTGTGTAGTCTGTAAGCAGCAGGCGCCTATGACGGTATCAAGGCCTGTCTGCTTGCACGAATATGGCTATCGAAATCAATGGGATTACAATTCCTGCTTCAGTAGTGCCTGAGTGGGTAGATGCACTAGCTAGACTACTCCGCTGTGTCTATTTCTAGCTGGGGCAAGGCTTAGCCGTAGTGTAGTTTAGTTCTGTCATAGAGTCTGCTGGAGCTAGAATTTTAAGGGTCCAAGACCGATTTGTTTTACCCAGTGGTGCAGGAAGGAGGAATGAAAAAAAAGAACTCGATTGAGGAAGAAGTAGATGGAAAGTAGAGGAAAAGTAGATGGATGAAATGATTAGACATAAATTAGAGAAATACGGCGAAATATCCTAACAGAGCAAACTTCTAGAATTTCTGACGCAGTAGAATCATCATTGTAATGGCAATTTCTGGCTATTCTATTTATAGCCATTTGTTAATGGTGGTTGCGTGGGTAGCGATTGATGGGTCGCCTGCTCGGTGACTAACTCAATATTTTTATCGTAATCTCTGTTTTATAAATTTCGGCGCTAGCACGTATTCCTACGCATAATATGGTAACCCACATTAAATGACGAATTCAGAGGAGTGATAAGTAGCTTTTTTAGTCAACACTGAAATGGAACGCAGATACCTAGGAATTATGGTGGGTTTCACGTTGAAACATGCCGCTGTCCCATACAGTACAGCGTGGTGAAAAGAAGAACATGAAAAATGAAAGTTTGCCTTTAAACTGTCGTTAGCTTTTGTTTAGATTGCCACTAGTTGAGTCGGCTAAATAACTATTACAAGTGGCACTTTGTCAATTATTGCAAATCGGCGTCGCAGTTTGTCTTTCATGATTTCTATGGGGTCGGTTGGGAAGCCTGAACGCTTTCTACCGCCTGATCATCAGCTCAGCGGATGAGGTACTCGAAGGCTAAATTATGAACGTATGATTCTTTGTTCCGCTCCCTTCACTCTCATGATCGAGCAGTATGCGTAAGATGCTTGAACACAGGAACATCACCGATGAGGAACGCATGGATCAGCTCGAGGCTAACCTTAAGGAGGCCAAACTGATGGCTGAGGACGCTGACAGGAAATATGATGAGGTGAAAACAGTTTCATGTTCCGAGTTTTACACCCAGAGAAGCAGCAGTCGACAAACTGCTGGCTTGACTGAACTTAATTCCGAGTGCGGTTCTCATGTGTATGTAACTATGTGTGGATTTGTCCTTTACTACTCACTGTGATATTAACAACCCTTAGAACGGACAGCGTCTGGACCATTTGTCGTATTCAGGGGGCTAGTCATCCGTCCGATCAACGCAAAACCGGCCGATTTTTCGACTGATCATTTCCGACAAACACGGTTTGTCTGCTCACGCTAACAAACCTTTTGAATGGTGCCTAACATTTTCTCTTCTTGTGAGTTGCAATAAGTAGATTATCTAAATGATTATCCATTGGTCCTATCTGTTCGTTGTTCCGCGGTGATGTTCCTCGCTACTTCATCTACCGCCATTCATCTGATGGTGTTACGGATACCCAGGTCGCGCGTAAACTGGCCATGGTTGAGGCTGATCTTGAGCGCGCTGAAGATCGTGCTGAGACCGGTGAGACGTAAGTACTCCGTAACTTTGCGAAAACCATTTGCATTGCACTAACTGATTTGCCGTTGTTTTTGTTCTGTATTTTCTGACGCGTCGTGCTTCTCCTATACACCATGAATTCGCATGTCCAAATCATAACTTACCACCCGTGGTGCAAACCACCTGTGCGTGTGCCTGGAACGTGTGCGTGTGGTATGCCTAATAACGACTACACGATCGATCAATCCGTTCGTTGTTGTCGGCCACGGTTTTCACTTGTGGGCATCAACAACAACAACAAAATAGATGGCACGACGGATTGCACTCCTTGAGACTGATCTCGAAAGGGCCGAGGAGCGCGCGTCTACCAGCGAAAGGTAAGGCAACATGTCCAACCCTGCATTGATACCAGACCATAAGTTGTTTATCCATCTGCAGTATTCGACTAATAAATAGCCCGAACCTATTACGAATTCTGGATCACCAGCAGGAATGTAAAAACATATTTGTTTCGTTGGAATTCCGCTGTCAACCAAAAGCACCTCCAAGGTGATAGCAGAATGATAGTAGAGTGAAATATTTCCCAAAAATAAATCGTATGTGCGTTTGAAGTGCTCGTTAACTATCAGGTGGCCTGTGTAACAACAAGTGTGTTATGTTCTTAGTGAGATTTACATAGCAATATGCACTTATCCTTACTTAAATTTTTATCTCGACTTGACAAACTACAGCAAAATCGTCGAGCTTGAAGAGGAGTTACGCGTCGTTGGTAACAACCTGAAATCTCTTGAAGTGTCCGAGGAGAAGGTGCGTTTTCGATTTAATCTTCACACATCCTCATTAAATACATATAAGCTACACCATTTGTCATGTTATATCCGCATATCTAGTGTATACTATAGAATATAAATTGTGTATAAATTGTGTGTTTACATAAACTTTCCGTATCGTAACGTTTTTGTTTATACCATTGCTCAACTGAATCTCTTCCACCGTATTTCCACTGTATGTGGTCTTGTCACGTATATCTGTCTCGTTAGCCATGGCTGTGTGGCTAACGTGTATGGACAACATATTTTTCCTTCACATATTTACACATTGTCTACTAAGCTGTTATTCTCTGAGTAAGGGTTCGCCGTTCAATGCCTCAACTCTGACTATCAAAGGTATTGTCACATCTGCGCATGTCGACGCAATTTTCCATATTTGTTCTAGCGTTTAATTGCGACCATCGCTACCAAAAGTGTTACATTAGCAACCAACCTCACATGCCCCTCCCTACCCTATTTTTACCATTCTAATAAGTAGTTTTATGGTTACCTTCTGGTGTCTCGTCTCATATCCTATCTTCTTCTTCATCATAAGGGATCATTTTAGCGTTTGCTAATGATGACTAACTTTTTTGCATGGTCCAGATCCGTTCCTTGTATCATGTCCTGTCTCAAGTACCTAGTTGTGTTCTGGTGTTATTGAGTCCTCTACGATGAATGTCTGGAACAAACTCTGAAGGGCGTTCGTTCTTTTTGCATCTACGAACAGATATTCTTAGTCCATTTTGCTTATTATGAAGTATTCGATAATAGTCCTATAATGTACATACCTCATCGCCTTAGCTTGCTTCATGATAATTAGGGTTTACTATTTATACAGGACGTTCGTTTTCTTGTTCTACACGTTTTTTCACCTCTACCACAAACATTAGGGCAACCATTGTAATGGACTGAATTTAGCACGTACGGATCTGTGTATTTCGTATTTGTGTTGTCCTTGTCATTTTTGCTACTGTGCCTTGATCGTTCATGTGTAGATTTTTTTTATATGTGATATACAAAATATGGACGTCATAACAGCTAGCAAATTTTTCGATTCCGTACTCCGAAAGAAGAATAGAAATAATAATACGCTAACCGAACGCTGTAGTATAGTCTACCGATCCTAGTTCAAAGTAGAAATAACAATTCGGCAATTTTATCTGCACTGCTTATTTATTTGTTTGTTTGTCGTCGGTTTACTCATCTGTCCGTCTGTTTGATCCGCAATTCCCACCTCCCAATTCTGTCGACCCTGGTCTGCTCTGCTCTGACATGATAAACCTCCACTGCCACGAACAACTACCCAATGAAATGATTGATTATCAACCGAATGAATGCTCGTCTGCACTGCCTGTAAACCACAATCACGCCTGCTGCCGTCGCTCTCGCACAATACAACAACAGGCTCAGCAACGAGAAGAGGCATATGAACTGCAGATCCGCACTGTAACAGCTAAGCTGAAAGAGGTGAGTATGAGTCATGATAGCGTTATTTGTAGTGAACCTTTATGTAACAGTCGTGGCTTTGTTCTCCCTTGTACCCCTCCCTCTCCTCAACCTGCCAAAATAATCCCGTTCCCGCCGAAAACCTGACTATAGGCCCTGCAAAAGGAAGAGACGTACGAGATGCAGATTCGCCAGATGACCGGACGGCTTCAGGAGGTAACCAGTGGATAGTGCCGATGCTAATATTAGTGATATGACCATACTGATCTGGAATAACGACGAATTTGTAGAAGCATGATGGCATTAATAAGTAGAACAAAAAATACTACTACTGAAGTTTTAGGAGAAATGGTATACTATGCCGTCAAGGTACATTTTCGGGTGAAATTGAGGAACGCCGGATTCAGTCATCTTCTTTTTCGATTGTAAGCGAACGTAAGAGCTTCCAAACCCACTCAGGCCAAAGTCAAGCTACTGCTAACGTGGCCTAGTTGTCTGCTAAATCGACTTATTGAATCAAAGGGATTGTTACGCCTGAAAGTGGTAAACGGACAGTGCACAGAAGATATCGAAATAGATGTTGCTGTTGTCAGTTTCGATGCATCCTGCATGACATTATGCGATAATATTTCAATCAAGTGGAAATAGGTGAGTCTTCTCGAGCCAGTCGAAGATAAACGGAGTCTAATAGGTATAGTTGATATGGAAATTAGGATCTACGAGATTAGGGTGTGCTCACCAATGGGATGCAGCTACTAATACATAAAGGACTAAAATGTTTCTGTAACATAGACGGAGAATGATTCCACTTTTTGTGTTGGCGTCATGTTGCCCGCAACGGTAATCGCGGTCAAGGACGTGTATTCGTGATCATAGCCCGAACACGGACGAGTCAGGAAGACAGATGAAGAGACAGTCGGAGTCGTAAGATTGTAGCTAGCCAAGAGGCTACAATATACAGACTAGCTAAGATCACACAATACGGCAATACAGTCTGACAGACAGAACAGAATATCTGAGATGACAGAAACGAGGAACAAAATGACATCTCAATTCCTAACCTATCGATCGTTTGCCTAAAATGTTACCATGTCAACTGTGGACAGCATGTAAACTGCGGAGATAAACAAAAGGAAAATGAATAATCTCTTATCAAAATGTCCGTACCTTCTGCATTCTCCTAAATTCTGCAAAGAGTGCACTCTTCGAAGATAATAAAATTTGTAGGCGCCACGTATAATGATAGATTTCCTTAGTCGAGAGAGCTCGGGCAAACACCGGCTTAAGTAGGTGAAGGATATCGCTTGATTGTTACCGGGTCTTTCAAATTCTGTGATACCTAGCCAGATTTTGGTCTGGCCGTCTCCGTTTCTCAACTTGCCTGTTCAATCTGACCCCAACCCAAATAAAAAAAAAACTGCTTAGTATCGTATATTAACGTCTCACATATCTTACGTGACATATATTATTTGATAGGCTGAGGCACGCGCTGAGTTCGCTGAGAGGTCTGTTCAGAAGCTTCAGAAGGAGGTCGACAGGCTCGAGGGTAAGTTTATGAAACATATACGAGGATTTTTCTCTATATCAGTGCATTTCATATAGATTTTTGTAGACACAGACAAAGATCTGTTGAAGTTTGAGGTGAGAAATGGAACAAGGGAAACCCTAACGGTGTCATGGGCAAGGTTCAAACCCTTTCTCTAGTATTATTTCCATATTGTCCGAATCGTCTGAACGGGGAACATAATTCAAAGTAAATATAATACTTATTTTGGCACATACCCTTTTAAAATCTAGTATGATGTCTCAAAGTATGCTTATTTTTCCGCATTCGAAAAGGTAAACTCAGTAGATTAGCTGGCCAGTTTATAATTAAACAATAGTTTGCGATTAGTAAACATGTTTTGTCTGTATTTTAATCTTTCTTTACTTTAAAGAATGGCGCATGTTTCGTCTCCCATGACAATAATCAGATAGACCGCTTTAACTAGGGAATGCGTTTGTAATTAATAATATTCGAATGTTTGAATATGTTGTTTCCTCTTGCTCCTTTCCCTTGTGAACCCCGTGTGCCGCTGTGTGACTTTTGCTGCGATGATTATGACTGCTGTTTCTGGTGGATCCCTTCTATACCACTACTTCTACGTCCCTTGATTATGGTGTGGTTCCTGATTGTTCCTAATGACGATGATCGCGTCGTGTATGGCCGTTGCGTCTACATACGCTTTGTCGTCGACCACGGTTTCAACTAATATTGACTCGTCCCGGCCGTACGCTTTATTGGGCCTATCGTAATATCATCTCATCGTCGATGCATTCATCCTGTATATTTATGGGTAATCAGATGAGCTGGGCTCTGAGCGTGAGAAGTGCGCGGCGCTGCAGGACGAAGTGGAAACCACCCTGAAGGACCTGCAGTCGATGTAACCTCTCCGCCCAACCTCCAGCGTATCCTAGACCTTATGTCGCCTCCTGCCGCCTGTGACATACAACCTACGATCGAAAACTATTTAGCAGAAAGAAAAAACAACAGAAGATTAGTCCTTTGAAACACAAGCACACACACACAGACACACACGAATATACCCACAATAACCCAGACACCCACTTACCTACACCCACCCACTCGTACACCCATTCACACACACACACATAGATACACCCAAAAATACAAAGACAGAAAACTATGAGGCGCTAAAAATAGGGTCTTTGTCTGACAGTGAGGCAGAACTTTGACATAAGTCCCTTATCTAGAGGCAAATGCCCCTTATATTGATATGAAGAGTGCAAATAAGAGTGTATGGCGTAAATACGAAATTTTCGGGTGTCCATGCCAAATTTCTTTCGGAGCCGCTACCGTCGCCGCAGTGGCTGAGGAACAGGAAAAAGCATAATAGCAGAATACTGCCATACGGCATATACTGCCGCCGCGTTTGTACTGCCGTTACCACCCATTCCATTCCATTCCAAAGGGCCCTTACGGTCAAAGAAACAAGAGACCTGTTCGCACATGTAGGCATATTTAGGCGTGCACTTTGAAACATACCCACAGCCATATAGACTCAGAGACAGAGAGAAATACGAAGGGATAGCAAAACTCCTTCACGGAAAAGCACGCGATGGTAATAACATTAGCTTGCAAACTTTGCAAAAAACATTTCTTCGCGAGGACTTGCGATACGAATGTGTGCTGAATACAGAATACCCCACAATATTTCCACTTAGTTAGGCTTTAATATTTTTTTTTATTCTTTGCTGACCGGTTTCACGGGGACGCGGACAAAATATATAAATATATGGCCGCAAGCCCGTTGAGAGTGGCGCTGATCTTTTGTGGCACTACTCTAGCGGAAGCCAGTTCCGCCATTGATTCTTGATTTAGAAATTGAAAAGTTCAAACCGGCCCCAATTTGCAAGTGAAATCAATTTCTTCTGCCAAGTTACTTTCTAATCGTAAATTCTGAATCAAAAGCAATCGTTAAAGGTAATCAATAATGTCGAATATTACCAAAAGAAATGTTGCCAACAAAATTACTTACGAGTACAACAGCATTGTATAGCCACAACAATATTTACTGCGATCAATAAAAAAACAACGTAACTGACAACCATTCCATGTAGGGATTTATGGAGGAACTCTTTCCCTTTTTCCTAATATATATCTCTATATATATATATATATACCTCGCCTTGTTTGTTGCGCGTCGGTGATACGGCCAGCTGCTAGTGGTTGCTGCCGTCGCTTGATTTGCTAAAATATTGCAAGTGGCAGTAAGTAAAAATTATGAGAAAAATAATTAAAAAAAAAAAACGGAAAAAACAAGCAGTCAATCGATTCTAGGCAGAACAGCATTGACATAATACATGAAAACAACATATAGACTCGAACGAACGAGGTGATGACAGCTTCCTTTTGAGAGAGCGAGAGAGAAAGAGAGCGAGAGAGAAAAAGAGAGAAAGAAAGCGAGAAAATAAAGTGAAAATAAGTGGTAAAATATCGCTATAATATTATTACGAGAACGACGATAACTATTATTGCTAGTATCATTATTATTACTATTACAGTTAAACAGTTTATTATATTTAATTATGTAAAAAAGCATGACACATAGTTTGTGTACAACGGCCGTGTCTAGGATAAATCTGATCTTACTCTATGAAGAGTCATTGCGCAATAAACTGACACGAGCAATCGTAGCCGTTCGTTAGCGTTTCTCTCGGTTTTCGCTGTCTTCTTCTGCCTTCTCTTGGATGTAAAGGTAAATGAAAACCTGATTTAGTTTTTTCTTCAACCCACATAGGAGCAAATAAAGGTTCTGATGGTATGTGCATAGTGCTCATCAAGCGCCGCCAATATCAATATAATGACGGCCGTTTCTGAGGTCGTTGGTATGCCGTCACACCGAAAAAAAATTACGCGCCGTATACCTACTGATCCTGTTTTATATCTCGCTCTGCGCCTTGTCCGTTGTCATTCAGAGTGCGAAGTTTTAACAGTAGGGCAACATCAATACAGGGATCAACATTCTGAACAACAGCGCAATTTCACTATTCGGACATACTAAAATGACGCGAACACAATCCCATGTCAATCAACACGTCGTGAAATTTCCACTTAACCATATAATGCTATGAGCGAGTTCAACCTCACCATGTTCCGAGCACAACTACAAGTGGTGTCCTATATCTACTAATCCCCCACCTCAGATCATGAGGTTCTTGCATCCAGGTTTGTAACACCTTTTAACCTGCCTACTATTTTATCATTATAATATTCCTCTTATTTTTTAACTCGACGATTGAACTTCGAAACGACAATATTATAAAGTTGCCACATGTATATAGTTAGTGGTTTGCTAGGTAAATTTTTTGTTAATAATTTCATACTGCATGGTGATTTCCTGCTTCCTTTAGATATCACAGTACCCTATTATTTATCTGCCACTTACGAGCAAGCCACAATTTATTCATACGACATCGATTAACAGAAGCTGATTGTTTCGTCCGCTCTCTTCTCTATATTCTGTTCGATTGGTGCAGACGAGTTGGTCCAGGAGAAGGAGAAGTACAAGAGCATCTCGGACGAGCTTGACCAGACCTTCGCCGAGCTCACCGGTTATTAGGCGCGGCCTGCGGACGCCGCACGGGCCGGAAGTCCCAAGAATCGCCCTCGCAACTATCGATTTGGCTGCAACAACAACAACTGCAGTTAGCAACACCTATTATTATTACAACAATTCCATATCGGTTAGCGGTTGACGGACAACAAAATCCGGCCCAACGGGACCCTGTCAGCCTTTTCAACTTCAACCCTTGTCTCCCTAATTTATCATTACTACCTAAAGCGACTATCTGCTTCGTTTCTTTTGTTTATTTCGAACAACAACAACGACAGACGCAACAATATTACGACCAACTACAGCAGCGACAGCGACGACAAGAACAGAACGAAGAGAAAGACGCAGCAGCAACAACAACGAATAAGAACGAGAAACCCTTGCGGTACCATCACTACTACTACAGCAAGCTGGGTCTGCTGCCTGTGCTGCTGTTATTTCTCATTGGCACAATCGTTTCTCGAGAGGAAAGTTCTTTAGCAAAAAAAAACACGACCGAGCAGCCTCTATGACAGCTCGTAAAACAACTGCTCGTTTCACATGTGGTCCTCGCTGGCGTGTCCAATCGATCCCGTCGAGACGGGGGCAATCCGAAATTATATTCATAGTGCCAGAATGAGAATTGATCAAAATTATTATATCAAGAGAGCGTGACAGTCAGTCATCAATGATGGTTGATGTTGATGAAACTGGTGACTGATTATGAATGATGGTGATGATGGTAATGACTTTAATAGGAACGTAACGACGATTACAATTGTGCATGCCAAGATGAACTTTCTGCATTCAATAAATACGTTTATGTTTACGAATTTATAATAGTACTTTTATGTATAACATACGGATAGAGTTATTTAGTCATACCTATTCTTTTTTTTCTGCTCATAAATACGATTAGCGGGTGGGGGAAGAACGGCAACAGAGCTACAGTGTCAGGCTCTGTTTTTGGTAAAACATTTCTTAGTCGTTGATGTGTCGCTGGGGTAACAGTGAATCGATCGACGCTGAAAGTTCATTCCTTCGTGACTATTAACAAAATCGGCTTTTGATTAACTGCAGGCTGCCTGACCCAGTATGTTATAAGAACCAGCTTACACTACTCGTGGTAAACATCCATTTAGCACTTTATATTGAGATTTCTTATTTATTTGTACAACGCTAAAAGTAGGCAGCGTTGAAGCGAGGTGAATGAATTTCCATTGGGTAAGTCGCAATGAAGCTGTTAGATCAGGGCTGAGTGAGTTAGCAAACAAGGAACCAGAGAAAAGATAACAAGGATTTTCGAAAAGCTGAACAAGTTAAGTGAGAAAAGAAATTATTGAAAATTTTAAAGAAAAAACAGATATATCTAACACCGTCAGTCGGTGGCAGGAAAATTACATACTAAAGAAATTCAACCTTCGTCGATTTTAAGCGACCGTGCCGGATCCACAATGTGCCACATCTCGCCTGCATTGGCGGCTTACCTAGTCAACGTGGGAATATAAACTCCATTTTCCATTGGGTTCCATTATTGTCGAACTGCTGCCCCTAACAATGAAACTGATATAATAAAATTGTCCGTGTACCATACCGAAGGCAGCTGAATCCACGGCATATATATTTAGTCATAACTAAGCTACCGGGTTCCCGTAACATCGATAGATTCGGTGTGCCTTAATAAAAGGAGTCGTCTCTAATGCATCACGGCACTAGATCCGCCGACGGGCAACCGCGAGTTTCAGTGTATGCCAGAGACGGAAACCGGGTAAAAAATATAGGCAAAAGAAAGCTCTGTTGAAATAAACAAAAATCATTAACGCTTAGAACGATGACTGCGAATCTACAGCATGCATTGTACGCTGTTGGTGATAAATGTTGATACGAATTGTGCTTCAAAAATTCAGCCACTTCGGATGAACGAAATTTTGTCTATACTCGTACCGAAACTATTTTTCTCCTTCATAGCGGGAGCATTTGCTGCTAAGTAAATGGCGAACAGGAGAGAGATTGCTGTTTATCAACTAGACAGTTGTAGGATAAGGAATACTAGCATAAAGAGGAATCTGCCCTAAAAAAAGAATGATTAACGTCAACTGAAAAAAAAGATTACTTTTTATTACGACAGTTTTTTTTTTATCAATCATCAAGTATAGGTCTATATTCTCATTGCATTGCTGCGAGGCAAAGTAAGCAAAAAGGCACGAAAAGGTATAACCCATTGTGTATGTCTGCGCAAAAATAAAAACTGCAGAAAGGCCACATTAACATTTGGTTCTGCTTGCTCTGAGATAGACATGCTTTCTATTACTTTATCATGGTCAAAAAGCTCCGTGCCTAGGCCCAAAAAATTTGTAGAATGGCAATGGGTACGTTAGTTAACCGCATGGAGAAAATTACATGAGAATACAACACCCGTACTGTAACGCTAAGTATGTGTTTTTTAAATACAATTATTAATAGGAAAGGACATGAAGGACTTCCGAATCATCGTAATTTAAACACCATCGCTTCTAATGCTTGTCTATATTGTAGATTCGAGCTCTGGTTGGACTATTTACAGGCAATTTATCACGTGTACATATAATTTAGAAATAGTAAACACATGTATACCAAATAACACATTATTGATTTCCCTCCCTTACACCTGAAAGTTTCCGTTGATTTTATCCAGTGTGACCTCTCCCACACTCAGGTTCAGTACTACTGCAGTGATGATTTTACCTGCGGGTCACATGATGAGCCAAGTTGTTCGCTCCTTTCAATATCCATAAAACGACTAACGAAGCTACGCAGGGGATCGACTTCAAGTTTTTGTAAAACAGCCTTTATAACGCTGTCCACATTTAGCGCAGCAAATGATTCACGATAGTACGTGGCCAGTTGCTCCATGCGCACGCGATCGGCTGCAATTGTCCTGTTAAGAGAGAGAAATTTTGAGCAATAAATACCTAAGCTGTCACATATGGAATAATGTCGATACGAACAATGATTTATAGAAACACTAATTACCGTTCAACTTTCTGTTTCTCTATCTCAAGAACCTTCAAAGCGGCTGCGTCTTCTTTGTTCTGTTGATGAAGTTTCGCCTCGGCTACGCTTAGCAGACTGCTTTGGCGCTTTCGTTCTGCTTTCAGGTCCTCCACCTAAAACATCAACGAAAAAAGAGGAAATCGGAGTAGTGGCCATTGAACATAGATGAACATGAACGATAGAATGATACGAGTATCATGGAGCTCACGCTGACAACTACCAAATAGTGTATGGCGGCCATCACGTTAGTATTCACCTACCTCTTTGTCGAGAAGGACGATCTGGGTTTCATGATTGCTGACCGCCTGACGTTGGCTCAGTAACTCTTTAAGCTTCTCATCTAAACGGGCACTGAAGTATTTCATCTGTCAATGCGTACATTTAGGTAATATTCAAGCGTTAGATGATCAACTAATCACTGGACAGGGCCTTCTTGCTGAAACACCACATTGTCCACTATGTCTCGTATAACCGAGCGTCAATCAGCGGTGTCTATTTTCCTTCACCGATCTGTCTAAAAGTCTAATCTAGGTTGTTTAATATTGAACTACAGCTGAATAACGCCTACCTTTTCATCGAGGGCCTCTTTGTCCTGCTTTTGATAATCAACTTCTTGCTGCTTCTTACGCCGATTTAGTTCAAATGTTTGATTGTCCTCTGCGATACGGCGACACTCGGCAATCTGTTGAAAACACATTACAAAACATTACTTACCGTTAATAATCTCGTACAAAAAACCACAACAGTTTACTTAAACAGCACTCTCACTCTCTCTCTCTCTCTCTCTCTCCCTCTATATATATATATATATATATATATATATATATATATTAGGCACATGCTAGCTAACAAGGTATTACAAAAACTGTTTTTATACAGTAATCCGAGACACCATAACAGAACATATCGATTTAAAGTAATTGCACTGATATAGTAAGCCAACCTTTGCATTGATCAGATTTGCCTCTTCGTTTATCATGTTCATCAGACGAGCGCTTTGATCAGCTTTCTTCACGCAAGTGATCATTTCATCTCTAGACCAGCTTTGTGGACCAACTCTCGAGCCGCCAGGACGCAACTGTGCAATTTTGCCGCATTCCATTTCTAGCTCCGACTCAGCGATTCGGATCGAGCCGGATACGGCCTCGTACTCCGATTCGACCGCACGCATCTTGCTCGCCAGTGAGCTGCGTGTTGCCTCCAACTCTGCAAAATTCAAATTAGCCAAACACAAGTAAACCGTAAAAGTAGGCCATAATAGGAAATCAATATAACAATGTAACTGTCTTCATCTTGCGTGTTTAATGTGCACGTCACTGTAGATCTAGTTCTCGGCTAACACTCGCGTTAATGGGCCGTTGTTAATAAGAACCGGAAAATTCATCCAGATTAATAGACCAAGCTCCTGTGATAGTGCAGTAATATCGAATTTGTCCACTAAACCTAGGGACACGTAAGGTGGTTCGAAATCGAGATGTATTTTTTTAGCAATAGCTCCCCACTTAACAGGTACTCTTTCTAAATAAGTTCGAAACCGGCATGGACACGCTTCGTGGGGGCTAGCTGCCTATGGCAGTGCTTCGTAGAGCAGTGAAGTTCGTTCAGGAAAATAAGATGATAATCCACACAACAAGAGCTTACCTGTGGTCTGGCTACGCATTGAGCGAATTTCTTCCGCTGAGATGGGTTGCGTATCGACAACAAGCTTCGTCTGTTTGATCAGCTCCTCTGTGTCACTTATCTGTTGAGCTAGTTTCGCCTTCTCTGCTTTCATGGCTTCAAGTTCCGTCTCTTTATGCGCATGGCGAGACTCCATCTGCTCAAGGTACTCCTCTAAGTCTTCGATCTGCTTATCAAGGCCTTTCTGCTCAGCCAGCTGTTCTTCGAGGTACTGAAGCTGCGTTTCAGCCTCCTGTTTCGCATTGTGAATACGCTCACGTTCCACACGGATGTCCTCTTCATCAAGAATGCCTTTGTGACGAGTGGTTAGGTCAAGCACTTGTGCCTTAAGTTTGCTGTCATTCACGCTGAGACCTTCCATAAATGATATCCTAGCGAGCTCCTCGGTTTCCACCTGCAGAACAGCATCCTCTTTCTGCATGAGTCGAATAGCTTCGACTGGATCGCACTCCACCGCAGTGACGACATCAAGCGTGTAGTCGAGGATTCCAACAACTGGGCCCGGTTTTGAACTGACCGTCTGCATCATAGACTTCGTTACTTTATGTGGGTATCCAAGCCCGTCCATGAGGATGGGCACTTCCTGTTCTATCCACTGGTTACCAGATGGCGGGATGTAGGCAGGCTCAATAAAGCCAAACAGTATTTTAAAGATGTTCTCAAATTGCTTTAATGTTAACTTGCTCGTTGTCGGGACAATCTCGGCGCTTAAACGTTGCTGTATAAGAAAGTCCCTGATACGGCCAAAAGTTCGCTTAATGAAATCGTCGTTGAAAACGCGGGGATCTTTCTGGTTTACTTGCCCATCTGTAAGTCGCAGCATTAAAAACAGGTGGTTTTTCATCGATTCTATTTAAGGTGTGATAGACCTACCGCAGGACTTTATGACCAGCATTTAAATAAGATTTCTTTTGCCCAAATCTTGGCTAGCGTTCGAAGTATATACAAAATAGGACTCTGGTCAATGCTGCTGTACAACTCCCAAAGGATGCGCAGATAAGATTCAATTACTAGTAACAAAGTTACGGGCCAGGTTCTGTAGAGACGTCTCAACATATTGTAAGGGTGGAACTTAAGCTGGAACATAGATTTACTTACAAAGGGATATTCGCCCGCTTCCCACTGAGTTACGGGTTGTGTCCAGTATACTTCGATTCGCAAAGCCACGTCTAGCAGAACTGGGTACCACGGCAGAAGGTACCTGACTTTCTCTAGGGCGAATCGATTTCCGCAGACTTAGCCCCTGGCTTTTTCTGTTCATTGTTAGATTAAACAAAGTCCTGTATAATGAAAAAATTGCCAAACCTAACACAGCACTTTAACACGGGAAGCACCAGTACGCACCGGTCATTCAAACAGAGCGGTTTCGAAGTTGTGCCGCTCGGTTTGATTTATAAAATAAAATTTTAAATAAAAAATATAGGGACTTAATGGTATCCAAATATTCGAGAAACAGCCATCTAGTCATTTTCGATTGCCTAATTAGATACAGCTCTCAGCTGGATTCACAATCAAAACAAAGTTTTTTTGCGAAATTCGACTTGAGTGTGTTCAGAAAGTAGTAGTCAGATAGTGTATACGAAAAACGTATTTTAATTTTTTCTTCGTGTAACAGTTTGTCATCATAGATTAGAGATTATTCGTTACAACCGGTTCTACTGTCATTGATTGCTTTAGTTCGCTTTTCTAATGCAAACTGTTTTAACCAGTGTCGATCGCGCCGCGCTAATTCCGAAAAAGAGGGCGAGAAGGAGTTGTACTGTGTACCCTCACCTGTTCAATGTCAAAATAATTACAACGTAAGTTGTGCAGGAGTTTTGTTTTTGTTGCTCTAAGAATGCGGAACGTTACGAGTGACCGTACTGGCGGGAATATTTCTCTGTCCTTGTGATGTATAATATGATTCAGCGGAACCATTATTGCATTGCGTACTAGTTGGTCATATGCATTGCTCTGGATAAAAGGTGTACGTTAGGTATATAATGTTATACGGCGCGGGACCCTGACTGATCAACGCTAGTGTTAGTAAAAATCAGCATTTTATCAATTGAATGTGCTGTTATGGATAACCACGGAACCAGTCATCGACATTCACAGTTACCGAAAACCGGTGGAACTCCTGCTACTACCATCACTCGTGGAAGCGGTCGCGGTGCTGGAATGAAGTATGCGCCGAACGCAACCCCCAGGGGTGGTCAACAGAAGGGCCCCTCATCTCGAGTTATTAACCGAACATATCAGTCACAAATTAGATGCACCGTTGAATCTTGCAGAAGCCGGATGAACGAACCGCGTAGGTTTTTCTTTGTTGTATAGACTTGTCTTGAATCCATTCTTATTGAGGGAGTAGGTTTTCAACGATCTAAAAATCAATAGACTATAGCATTAGATGGAAAGAGAGCGGAACGGAACGGGGTTTGCGTGTTTCGCTTCTTCTAAAAGGCCGTGCTTTAAGATGGCAGCTTTTCATTTGGTCACTTCCCTCCAAATTGATATAATCATACGATAACTTTTAATCAAACAGATTAGGAAGAATATTTAACGGCAGGCTCTCTGCTTATTCTTGATTTTATTTGTTCGTTTTTTATTCGATTTTATTCGTTTACCATAATGGCTTATGGCTAAATGCTACAACAAAGAATTAGTTGGGAATGTATCAAATCATAATGCTGTTCCAGGTAAATTTTGCAACAATAGTAGCTGCAAAATAATATCTTTGGTCTCTTTTTTATGCTACATAAATAGCAAATACTAACATTATTATTATAGAACCTTGTTGTTGAATAAAAGTTGATAGTGATAAAGTTGACCTGAACGTTCACCATGCTGCACCATGCTTGGAGACACACTGATTTCGTTATCCCGACCGTTCACTGCCTCGTCCATAGAATAAAGCGGAATATCAATTACTTGGTGGGTTTCCTGTTCCGACGTTACGGTACAAAGAATATGGTAAAACTTATAGCGACTTTAAAAAAATAGCGTTATTCTGAATGCGATTGTGTTCGTGTTACAGGCAAGCTTTTCTACCCGATTCCGACAGCGCCAGGCACTCGCAAAATATGGACAGATCTCGTAAGTACGTTAATAGATACGCTAATAATTTCTCTCTTAATGGCACGAAGAAATATATCTATTACTGCGAAGCAAATGGAAGCTGTGGCTTTAACAAAGTAACAGACGAGACAAACATATTAGAGGCATTATCACAGATGAATGAGCTGCGTCACGATAGGCGAAGTAGTATTAAACCTAACCTAACCGACGCAGAAACAGGGCCAGGGGAAATATTCATTTTGTGGGCACCGTTGTAGGTCTAAAGGTCTATACTACTATGGCAATAGCTAGAAGTGAGGCCTGTCGTTCGTAGATAAAGTTTGTTCATTAACTTCTTAAGCAAAACAATCTCGTAATCTATTTACAGAAAAATAACTTGGAGAAACAAGCGTCTTCCATGGATTACCGTTCTGTAGTCCTTGCGTGCGTTCTGTTTACTCAGCGTAATGTATATATTGTTTGAATGTACAAAAGCAGATAGAAAACTCGAAACGGCCTTTTAGGTTAATAAGTCAAAGATTAATTTTGGCTCGTGGAACACCTTTAAATGTATTTATTCATAATCGTATAACTCGATAGGACAAAATTGGAAGCTGAAATTTGACGAGTTAAAAAGACGAGTTATAAGAATTGCGTAGATGATGTTCTCAATAATACGATTCGATTACATCAGATCCGGCGTCACAGCTTAGGTTTCGGTCCGATTTCCACGAACTACGTTTGCTCTGACCATTTTTCGACTGATCAAAAGCTGCCAAACGGCCACCTCAAGGTGAGAATCAGTTGTCACATATCGTACCTAATCCAGATTTCTACAAGCTCAGATGTACATCATCCGTGTGGGGGGATTACTGGCTCATATCTTACATAGCACCGGTCAATTCCTCCTCTTATCTTGTTTCAACAATATCTACCGTAGACAAGCATAAAATATTACCTGTATATTATTGATCTTTATCTATATAACTAGAAGCTAACTTTAGAATCGCCTAAATGACCTCCTGTTATATATATGTATGATTGATTTGGAAATTTACAACGCACGTTATCAGTTATCACTTTTGTTAGTTAGTTAACCTGCAATAAAATGAGGAACTCGTTCGTTGCTTTTTCCATGGAACTTAGCCTGACGTATTTTGTAATAACTAGCTACAATCTTAGTCGTCCGACGAAATATGGATACACAAGGAATACGAAGGCTCACTGTGATACCTTTAACTTAGTTTCAAATCTGCTCTGTTCGTTTCAAGGGCAACGCTGTTCCAAATATATTTAGTGTTCAACGGAGAGGAATTGTGGATTGCCTATACTGCGGAATGTCATTTGAAAACCGTGGTCGACTCCATTCGCACGATTCGATTGTGAGTAAAAATTATTAGGGATATTTGTTTTTGTTGATCAAGTCACGTGAAACTAGTGAGAAGATCCCTAGACCGTCCGTGCATGACCCATTTACAAAGTAGATTAACTGAAAATGAAAAAAACTATGATGAGTAAAGTAGTAGTTTGGCAGAGTGAAGTGAGGCTATATATAAGCAGCGAGAAAATTAACTACATTTGAATTATAGACTTTAGGCTGAACATACAGAGCTTGTTATTTATCCCATTATTACTCAATGCCATTCCGTTATTTAACGAGCTACATGGGCAAAGTAAGTGGCAGCGTGTAAATCCCGGCCTTGTAGAGCGACTTTTTAGATACTGACACATGCTGTCATACGTTAGTAGAGCTCAAATTGAGTGTGTCATGTATACTGAACGATAAGAATCTACGTTCAACCTGTTCATATATAAGCATCTACCGAGAGAAAAAAAAACTGCTCGTCTGATTGGATTATCTGTATGTACTTAATTGGAGGAAGCACAAAAGTAAAATAGCATACGATTGCCTTTGTTCTTCACACTTCGCTGTTTAAATCTATAACAGGATTGTTCGATTCTCTTCTGGTGTAATGCACGACAGATACATCTTCATGAAAGTCGCCGCTGGAAACTTGAATGTGAAGTCGAGTCCGTCCCCCCGAGTTCACTATACGACGGCAAGTCGAGTTGTAAGGTAAACGACTATTGACGAAAAAAGTGCGATTGCAATATGTATTCTGACCAAATTTCAGTGTTTCTCATTTAGGACAACATTTTAGTTGATAAAGTGTACAATCTGCCTTCAGGACTGCGAGAGGCGCAATGAGGTCTACGAACAGATGGAAGGACTTCGCCGAGATATCACACAGTTGACGAACGAATTGAACGAGTTCACGGAAGTACAGCTTGGAGGACGGCTTCAATTGAACTTCCCCACTCCGTGCGAAGAAACGTTTGCCATTTCTGATGACAAAACACAAACAATTCAGACTGAGAGTGAAATTTCTTGAGATATTGCTTAAACAATTATGGAATTGAAGGGGACGCTTATATAGCACTAGACTAGCCAGTTCCGTTTACAGTCGGTGTTGCACCTATGATCTTGTGATAATTTCTTTTCCCTATATACAAATCGTATTGCTGATTTTCAGCTGTTTGATGATATTTTTTATTGAAACTACACGGTCGGAGGCAAGTGTGGTGTCAATTTGTAAAAATGCTTACAGTTATGTAAATATGTAGATGCTAAGCCGTAAAAACAAGGTCATTTTGTATTAAACATCAAAAAATAGTTTTTGATTTGTGTCATCATTGTTACGAACATTTTTTCTCCAAAAATATTCGCAGTAGTAAATAAGACCTTGTCTAGCTTATGAATCGCTAGGTGACAATCCAACAAAACATAGCAAGGAACGAAAGCAGCCAAGAACGCGGTACAAACAACAGTATAATACGATTCTAGGAATTCCATATAGATGTTTGTGCGGACTGAAGCCCCTTAGCGGCGGTACCCCCAGGACACCTGCCGATGAAATGGCGGGGATCACTTTTTAGCAGTAGGTATGAGTAGGACTCTACTAATGCAACAGAAGAGAACTAGAACTCTGAACTTAAGATTTTCAAAAATGGAGCAGCGATCCCGTTATAGTTACTAACTAACTTAACTTGGTATCTTCTGTACATTTAGCACGCGTGGGCTGGCCAACGAATGACCAGACGTACATCGGGGCCACATCTATTGCAGTTAATTTGTTTCGCTAGCTTAACAACCGTATTTAACAATTTCCATAAACTCTTTAAAAAAATCAATCGCCAGCAATGCGCCTTGGACATGCTAGCAAGTACTATTTGGCATACTATTTTGTAAACGTAACCGTTGTCGAGGTAAAAAGATTATTCTGTTAAACAATCGGTTCGTTCCGTAGGCTTCATGGGTTTCAGTTGATAGCGTCTGCGAATTCCCGGAGGCAGTGCGTCTTTAATGTTTGTTAAAGGTCATCTCGCGAATGATTGGATAGCTAGATCACCGCTCCTATTTAAGATTGAAGACACTTGAAATCCTCAATGTAGTTTTTACCTATTAAAGTCTACAAGGTTCTTTTACAATAAATATTATACTAAAAATATTATGGCATAACTCGGTGCAACTGTTGCATTTGCTCAAGTCGTTCTATTGGCATCGTTTGTTGTCTTTCCTATCAATCCGCGTTCCGCAAACGTGAATACATTTGGAGACAGGCTTGGAAGCGAAATGAGAAACTTATCGGCTGGCGTTCTCTGCCTGTCGGTGACCGGGGCGCTTTCCCGGTCCATGTTTTATAGATAAACGCCTCTTCAAGTCGGTCTTCCGTCGGATGTGTTGACGGCACGCTAATATTTGGCGTCCTTGAGCGACCACTTGCGTTCGAGAAAAACCATATAGATGCTGATAACGTCAGCGTCGAGCGAAGGCGGGGGAGTGGTACACTTATTTTGTTGAACTCTGACAATTTTAAGTACTGTTATTTTTCAACTTCGCTGGCCATTAGTTAAATAACGGTACGATGACGCGGTAAATGGTCGCTTTTTTGCGGAAAAATCTCGATGCTTGTCCAAGTGCATAGTGTGGCAGTGGTGGTACTGTGAAAAAAAAAGGAATCGATTCAATCCTAGCTTGCGTTTCCACCTGGTTTCAACAGAGAAGTGGACGGCGAACCGTGCAAGCCATTTTTAGCAGAGCAACAAACAAGCTTTTGGCAAACAAATGCAACTAACGTTGTGTAGAACCTCTAGCGGACATTATTTTGAAAGCGTCATATCTGAGAGCATTATGAAAAAGGTTACATTTAGTCAGGACCGTGATTCTATAAAGCATCTACTACGAAGCTGCTAACACCTTTAAATGTTCACTAGAATGATAACGAGTGTAGCACGAAATTGTACTTTAGGTTATGCTTATTCTTTATAACGTGAGGCAGAAGGCTTTGGAAACGTTCAACTTCAATGGTTTATTCAATGGCCCTGTCTACTGATCTACTGTCCATTAGTGTTGCGGCTGCAAGAGTAAACACGATTGAATATCTTCACTGTTCTGTTGCCATTTATCTTCTGCTCCACGCTGACATCTGCACTGCGTACTGCGATTATTTCTATTTATAAGCTCGTTCGATACGCCAGGATGGTAACGCCGGGTGACGACATCGTCAGGTTACAAGTTATAGCGGAAGAGGTCAACAAACTTTATCAAGAATATAAAGAAAAACTACAGGTTAGTTGAAGCATTCGTTGCTAAAGGTTAGCGATGAGACCCGAAACATAGCGAAGCATAGGTATCCAGTGGCAATCGCCACCTAGTAAATCGTAGGGTGTCCCTGTTGTGTTTCGTTCCTTCATAGTAACGACGCATTCTTCGAGATTTCAATGGTCTCCGTGGGCCAGCTTGTTTCAGTGCTCTAACAGTCTATTAATTCGATGATAGGAAAACTTACCTCGGCTAATTAGTACATGTATGGGCGCCTATTCACAGTACAGAGTTCATATGCGGTTTTGATATTCGCTTACCAACGGGTTGGTCACCAAACATTTTAACTTTGTATAAATTCATCATAAGATAGGTACAAGGCTAATTTAGAACGTAAACATAATTTCATGTTTTGTCAAATTTTCAAGCCAGCATTCACTGCGTCACTCGGTTATCAGAAAGCACTACAAAAAAGCGAAGATTTCTGCGCCAGTCAAGTGAGGCATCTACTACATCATTTGGTTCCATTACGAGTTCAGCTGACCAGGTAAACATGTAGTCGGAGTCAAACTTTTCAATCAATAAACGGTTCTATAAGGTCCAGTCGACGGAAAAAATCATCGATTGTGGGCAATAATAGTAGAAATAACAATAACCGACAGATTTGTTTATATGGAGGTATTTCAAATCTCTACAATTCGTTTTATTTGTTACGCTATCGCCTTCATCGACCTTGTGCTTCATGAGTAACGTTACTGATGTTTTGAATGTGTGAAGTAACACAATGAAGCGTTGTTATTTCCGTTAAAAGTGGCTGATACGTTTACGGTACTTTATCCTTGTCTATTGTCTATATTCACAGCATGAAACCTGTTACACAAAGTAGAAAAAACAATACACAAGATCCAGTTGTTGCAAAAGCGGCTACAGAGTTGGACTCGCACGCTGCCGAACTTGAAGATGCCATCAGGCTTATCAGGCGAAACCTGCCGGCGCCGCCTGGAAAATATTTGTATTTCGTTTTAGGCTCTGTGAGTGTGGCAATGCGTAGCAACAAACTGAAACTCAACTACAAGATCGAATATGAAAAGTACGTCAAGGATTGAATCGAGATTAAACTTAGTGTACCGTCCATTGCGTAGCGTGTACGTTCGCAGCATATTCAGTCTTTGTCACTTAGTCCTGCCTTTTGATGTACTATGCCAAAAATACCAAGAATGATGTTGTTAAAGAATGAATCCCCAAAGCTTTCAAAAGTTGTTCAGGAGTAACAAAAGCTGTTGGACACTGACTACTCAGGGAACGATGTAGTGAAGTTTGCCCTTTAACTTGAGAGGATAGATTGATTTTGGATGATGGCAGTTGATGATTATATTTCTTTCATACTAACTTTCAGTAATATTTTTATTTGGAACATGACATTTCAGTTTTAAGTTAGTTGTGACGTGCGCTTTGCTAGCTCTGTCGGTAATTTGTCTACTCCGGGGTCCAGGAACTCGTTGGGACCCTGTGCTGATGTTTGGGCTCGTCTGGTTTTACTGTACACTAACCATTCGGGAATCAATCCTTAAGGCCAATGGATCTAAGTATGATCGTTTCGTTTTGTTGTAACGTATTCTTGTCTCAGATTTAACTTCTCTCGACCTTTACGCGTGTCGTGTATGGATCAGTAGTTAAAGTTCGCTCCCAGATACAATGGGAAAAACATTATCATTTGTTAAACTTTTACCATTAGCGCTACACAAAAGCAAATTGCTCACATTTATCCTCGTACCAATCATACTAGCTCGAAAATTATTCCTGTGAGAATTTTGATTTTATACCGCAGCTATTAGACCTAGAGAAACGGACTTGCAGGTAGCATAGTAATGCCGAGTAGTTCCTTCATATATATATATATATATATATATACAATTTGTGCGTTAGAAAAGATGTATTACGTTTCAGCATCAAAGGATGGTGGAGGCTGTACCACTTTTTGGCAACAGGATTATCCGGAGTAACTGTTTTATGGTTAGTACAACCTATTAGAACACACGTATGATATATGTATAATTCGTGCCACTTAATACGCGATATTAAGTATTGCAGTATCTCGCGTTTTTGTTGGTCACTAATGTTTTTGATGTCACTAGTTTCGTGTGTATAGCGATAAGATAACGTTAAAATAAGAGTTCACTTTAAAGATTGTATGTGAAGGTAGCCGTGTGTTGTGTGTGTTTGTTAACAACTCGTTATTTTCGAGGAATTTATGGGGAATAATTTGGTCCAAGCAGGAAACATCTAGCTCGATTCACACTTATTAACGATGACCTTCAGACCCTATGCATGCATAGCGTAAGGCTACAATCTGTAAAAGACATCTAAACATACCACTCATGGGCACCCTTTTATCTATCGTCTTTTTTACCTACTAATTTAATACTAAACTTATCGACGTTTTTATATACCGACTCCTACAATTCAAGGTTATTGTTTCTATAATTAAATCTAGATCTTTTTGCCAAAGCTTAATAGCCATGTGATAACTTTTGAATTCAAATTAAAAAAAAATCAGATGGTTGAATTGACTACTTGCAAGAGGTTTAGTAATAAATATAGCAACTTCAAATAGTTCCAGATGTTTGAAAAATATGCTCTATAATGTGGCCAAAATGAAAATTTTGTGATATGGCAATTTTAGGGCTGACAAGCAGGGGTTTCAACTGCATCTTCGCAGCTGTTTCTTGACGTACACTTGCGTGATGCTGGTAGCTCATCAAATGCAATATCGATATCAGGCCGGAACGTTGTATAGGCTACAGGTGAGAGCTTCAGGACCTGTTGTCCTCTATTCGCATTTAATTATTGCAGTTCAGTACAGCTATGTAATAATCTTTACATACGTTGTCTCATAGTAAGTGACCGCTCAGTAGTATGTTTGCCAAATCCAGCAACAATAATAATACTGCAGACGACATCTTTTTTGATTCATTATTTAACATGTAGATAGGGAAACAATTTTCGTGATATATGTGGAGGCTTTTCGTTTCCGCTTGCCAAAGCGAAACACCTCTTATAAGATCAAACAATAAACTACACATGTTCGTACTACGTGCATGCGTTCAGGCATTAGGGGCTACGCCGACCGGCAATTCCGACGTAGACCCTATGGAGGTCAGTGTCGAAGGAGTCCATTCGCTATTAGTCAAACCAATGCTAAGAGATTTCTTCCTTCTGATGCCTTTCCTCTACGCGGTTTACGTAAGAACTTTTACTTTTGATCCATTTGTTTTACTAAATAATTTTCGAAAATTTCGCCGATGGCTAATCTATTCAGCTTATGAAGCAATTATTCATACCCTCTGATACTTTCCTCCTCAGCAGGTAACTAGCAAATCCTCCGATAGAAAAAAATTAAGCAGACATTTTTCTTTTGGTTTGGATCGCAGTTGCTGCAGCTTCTGATGCTCTACCTCGTCGTCGAACTCATTTCTTCGAAACCTGAATCGGCCACTTGGCACGCGGCATCGGCGGCCGTATTTTTCGGAGTGATGTTCGTGGGCAACGTGTACAACACCACTAAAGCAATCTATTCGAAATATCAATCTTTTCGTCCTGATCCGCTGCATCTCATCAGAAAGTTTACATCGTGTTGATTTTTTACGCTAGAGAGAAATTAGAAGGAGCTCAGCCGTAGAGAAAAAACCGCGGAAAACTCTTTGGCACATTCATGATTGAAAATCGAATTTTGGGCCAGCCAATAAAAAGGCAATATTTATAATGCCGAATAAGGCAAATTCAGTGGGACATATTTTGTGTTTGCTAAACGGCAGAGGCAGGATATACAATAAAGTTAAATGAAATACATTGCGTTAGCATACACGACGTACTGTTGCTACTAGACGGATCAAAGCCTATTGAGCTAAATATTAAGGTCAAAATCGAAGAATTTTCACTTTTTTTTCACAGTCTGTCCTGAGTTAACTGAAAATCGAATCAGTGGAACTTTGTGAAGCGCCAGTTCAGACGGTACCAAGTTCAGTCTGAGTTGCTCAGTTTTTAGATGCTGTCGGCGCTAAGTAGACATAGCTGATACGTAAGTTATTTGGCGAACAAAAGTTTCCCAGACATAAAATTCTGTCCAAGGAACGCTTGCGGCGATTTGTTTCACGTTGCCTAACTACTCTAACGAAACATTCTACTGTCAATATGGATACTTTGAAAGGGCTGTAAAAGGTGTCCAAAGTTCTCATCCTAAATTAATCAGTAAAAAAACAGAAAGAAAAACAGAGTCATCAAAAATCATATACTAACAAAGCAGTGATTTTTTATTTCAAAGTATATGCAGGTATATAATTAAGAACTTTACAGGCTCAACCGACATAGTGTTTGTCAGTATAACAATAGCGACATATATACATGCAATATTTACTCATTTCGCATATATAGGCAAAAAATAATGTCGAGTACCTTAAAAATATAAACAACTAGATTATTATTATTAGTATTATTTTTGTTATTATAATTAAATAAGGCATGATTCTCATCAAAACCTGTCGTCCTCCATTTTTTGTTCCTTGTTATAAAATCAAAGGAATTTATACATGTGTTCCACTTATAGGTCAGGTAAAAACGTCCCATCTATAGCTAAGCTATATATTATTTTATGTGGAAAAGCCCTATTTAGTCTTGTAGGTGAGACAGACCTCCATCATGAGGCTGTTGTCGGATCGTGTTTTACGCTCTATCTGTTTTCTCTAATTCTAATGGCAGTTTTACATCGTTTTTCACGAGCAGAATCACCTCAAGATTATTTCCTCACCAACTAACGAACGTGTATATCTACGGTATCGAAGTGATTAGGAGTGTTATCGATATTATTAAGAAGGCAGCGGGTGCCAGCAGGCCAACCGCTGTCACTGGCAAGGCGCAAATATATCATAGAATCATAACACAGTGGCTTTAGCAAGCTTCCAAGAAAAAAACCGCTAAACACAGATACCAAGCATTTTTTTTTCTTAATAAATTAGCTGCTAATATAATAAACAGGGTGCATTGTCAAGAGTGATGATGTTCTTTATCTTCTCACAAAATGAGTCAAGATGTCAACGAAATAATGGTTTAATATTAAAACGTGGTTTATATGTATTTTAAAATTTTGCTCGATCAATATGTTTAGCTATATAGAATGCGCGCATGGTGCTTAGTTGTTGATTAAATTTTAGTTCGGCAGGTATTTAAGTTTTATTCAGGGCGTCGCCCTTCGTTAAGGGCGGCTAGCCTGTGGGCAGTATCTATTATAGTTCTTAAGTTTCTATTAAAATAACTTGATCTTTGTAAGTTTCATTCACAGTTACATTATGTTAGCTTTAAATAGTATCTGAAAGTCAATTAATAGTTATGATGTAGCGTTTAGCTGTCGAATTTCGTTACATGAGTGAGGTCATTTAATCAGTTGGCAATCAATGTATAACATAGAGCCACTCCACAGACTGTTTATAGTTTGCAGCAACTGAATGATACTATTCTTAGAATCACATTGTCGGCACCTTCTAAAGAAACTTTGTAACTTTTTTTTTTGTCAATTAGTGTAAAATTAGTCTTGCAATGTCTAAGAGCTTGACCAACCAACCCTGAGGTTTACTCTGAAATCCGTATTGCGTAATTGCTTCGAGTTACTGAGGATTTTTTAAGTATTATCTTCAGCTTAATTCTCGAAGGGCATCGATTGAAGTCTCCCTGTTCTAATCCACTACCTGAACTTAACAAGAAATGTCGAACGAAAAAGCCAAATAACGGTCTTTGAGTACCTGCCAAAGGAACAGGATCATATCAAGGTCTTTATATTGGCCACGATTTCGGGACTGGATCTACTGTCCACTTCTCGAACCTCGTTCGAAGAAAGATTGAAAAAAAAATATATATATATATATGTATCATATAAATATATATTACCACTAATAAAGATGCTGATGCTACGCACGGCCGACACCGGACACCACCTCGATGGTCTTCACAACGTTGAAGGCATTTGTGAGAAAAGGCTAGGTCTCAAGAGAGTTAGTTAGATGAGCGTTGCATACGAGTTATATTACTATTGATTATTCAGGCTTTATCAGGCTTATTTGGAGGCGGCCGGTACGTTAGGCGACGTAAATGGGGAGGTGGCAGGGACCTGCAACGAAGAGGTCTTGCCAGATCCGGCATTCGTTGGATTTCGTAGTTCGAATGAGCGGGATTTGATCCTCGTAATAAGTGCATGCACTGCCCACAACAATGAAATGAGAAAGGCGTAGCCAGACAACGAGAAATATAGGGTTGAGTAGGAGCGAAGATGGTCCCTAAAATAACCTATAACAAAGGAGAAAGACACACATTATTGCCATGACAATCTACTCCTGAATTTAGTTAGACTAATCTTATCAGATATTCGTATATATATATATATATATATATATATATATATATAACAAACTATTTTATACAAACCACCAGGATGAAAATATCTTCCGCAGAATGGGCGTAATGATAAACGTTGTATTTACTTAATAATATGGAACAGACATACTGCGATATTCGGAAAGTATTAAGGGGGGCCTGAAAGAACGCCTAACGCCAATGCCGAACATAAAACTCAAAATATTTAGTTTAGATTGTATAAATTGTTGGAATATTAAAAAAGTACAATGTATAAATATACATTGACTAAAAATAGCATTGGAGTGCTTGACTCTATAGAGAGTAAGATGCGCACCGCAAATTTTCTAGTGCTATTCACTAGAGAACTATTGACAACGTACCGATACAATATGGCCGGGCCAGCGATACTATGCCTAGAATCATACGGTAGACCCCAAAAGTCAGTGGCATTGTCTCAACACCCAGATAGTCGGCCAATAACACAGTATAAAGCGGTGTGCCACAGCCGATACCGAAGCCCAGAAGGACAGATGCGGGCACTAATTGTTCGAAAGTTTTGCACAGCGGGAATAATGTCCACCCGAGGGCCCATACCAGATAGATGCACGACATCATGGTATCTCGCTCTAAGTAGCGACGATCTAAAAATCCAAGAGAAACGTTGTAGCAATGAAAGACACACGTTGAATTAAGTTTGATTAGGAGAGCGCTTCGCTTTAGAATAAAATACGCTGAATAGATTTCACATGTAAAATATTGCTACACGATCAAGTATATAAATATTCATTCTATTGTTATATGAGTTGATTTCTTCAAGTCTACTTTCTATCAAAGTAAAGTGTTATCAATGAATGAATTTATGAGCATATTACTATTAACGTTTAAGTAAATGATTGTTTCGTATATTGCCAACAATACTTTGTTAGAAAAAATGCCAAACGAAGTTCTTCCCAACTTTGATAAGTACAAATTCTATTTCACCGCTTGGTTTTATAACGCCAAACGATGATTTGTCACTGGATGAAGTTAACAATTACAACAATTACATTGCTGCGACAGTACTGCTATTTCAGCACCCTTTGTTGGGTTAATAGGATAAGTTGCTAAGTTTTTCCTACCGGAAATTGATCCGATGAGAAGTCGTCCAGAGATATCTCCAATTGAGAAGGTTGTTAGGATCAAAGCAGATGTGCTGTGGCTGTACTCTTTCTCTTCGACAAAGTCAACGGCTGTCACAGGAAAGATAACAAAGGAAAAGGAAAATGCTATGCCAGAGAGAATAATCATTGAATAGATTGGCTTCAGAAGGAATTTAAATTGGTTGACTACTCGGTAAAGACGCTCTATTAAGTCACTTTCTTCCATCGCGTATGTTTCCTCCTGGAAATAAAACAAATATACTCATATAAGTACCCTATAGCATATAAAAAGTGCGCATTTGAACCTAATACACGAGATGCACTCGAGCCAGTGCAGCCGTCTGATATGGGATTTGCTCTGAGCACCTCGATAGTAGAATCGTCAGCCTTCATCAACGCCAGCTTCTATTGCAAATAATAGCAGCAGCAGCAGCAGCATTTCATATCCGTTCACACAATCCCCGAAGCTCACTAGGCGCTTATAGGGATAGCGTCATAAATGTAGGCAGATTGCTATTAACAATGAATATACACACATGTTACACATACATGAACCAATCCTGTTAAGTTTGTTTATATGTTTATTACAAGTAAAAAGTGTGTATACGTTTGTGATAATTAAAAGCTACGCTGTATATATATATATATATATATATATATATATATATATATATATAGAGAGAGAGAGAGAGAGAGAGAGAGAGAGAGAGAGGGAAAGTCACAGTTTTATTTAGACACTAATTTACGGTCTGGTTCCTGGTTAGTGAACAAAATAAACTGGATCTCATTGTAATGAGCTATTTTTGAAAATCCTGATGGTAACAATGTCTTCATTCGGGTATTATCATTAGGATAAATATACTCTTAGGCTGATTAAGACAACGGAAAGAAATATAGGCACATGTCTCTAAGTTAAACGACTTTGGGATAGAGTCATCAACTGATTAATAAAATATATCATTTCTGCAATCCGAACAGCACTAAAGTCGCGGTACTACGTAACAGCTATTTGGATAACGGATAGCAATAAGTTTTCTAGAAGTTACTTTCACTGCTGCTATAATTTTAAAATCTAGATATTATATAGATGTATGTAAAAGTAACGATTGCCAAACTTCAACCTTAAACTGTCCGCTGCATTCACCTGCATTTGACGATAGCAGACGCCAATAGGTCTTTTCTAATAGCGGAAAGTAACACAAGAACTTCACCACCTGCCCCCTGCCGACCCGAAACATAAGGTCAAAGTGTTTGGTTATACAATTATTTTTTGTTCTCCCTTAATAGTGTACAAGTTTTAAGTTGAGCGCACATGAACATTAGCCGTGCGGCTGATGCAACACAGGCGAGGCAAAGTGCAACTATCCACGAGCTTGGCCGCTATAAGCAAACGTCGTCGTTCTGCAGTCAGATAAGAACCGTAAAGATGATCGAGCTTCAATCTGAGAAAAGAGGATGTCAAAAATCCGAAACTGTGGCAGTCACTAGGTCAGACTTGCGGGCGACAAGAAGGTCGGGATGCAAAAAATTGGACAAAATAAGGCCTTCGCGTGAACAAAATCCGTATTAGGACGACTACACCGATGAGCCTTGTAGCAACTATCATCAGTTCCTTGTGAAAGGAGCCTGAGGAAAAAAGATGCAGTGTTTGCCAACATTTTATTCTAACGTACGCAAATTAAGAAGCCGAATTGCATTGGCCAAAAAACTAACAAAATAAATAATATGACTTGTCTCGTAAGATGATTAAATAATAGTGCCTATTTTTTTAAGTATATTTATCGCTAAATGTAGATTTGTTGGTATTGGGTATCCGCAGTTTCGCTCTATTCGGATCGCAGAAGTAGTGCTTATCTTTGGAAAATTTAGATTTGTAAATATTTTTTAAGGCAGAATAATCGACGTCTTCGACAGGCGATCGCGGACAAACAAAATTGCACCAGCTTAAAAGCACTTATTCACTACTCAAGGCAATGTTGGATCCTCAATGACCAGACATGATTTCACAGTGCTTGCTAAGCGTTTTATCTATAAGGAAACGTATTACATCGATGTCAATCAGTCGATCACTCGCTCTGAATCTATGTGGTAGTCTATACAGATGACTCGCGGAATATCTGACGTTTTTATTCCGCTGGCCAGATACGATTTTGTCTACATAGACACCTTAATATTTCGGCCCGCAAATTGCGTTAAACCAGTCACTTTAGTGGCAGAATGGCTAATGTTGGTGTGAAATGGCACTTCCCTTCATGTAACCCCGACTTCGAATGGGCGAAGTGGAAGGTGGCAGGGAAGGCCGAATAAAACTTTATTTTGCAAACCTGAGGGGTGGCAGTGTTCATGGACGCTGCAACCAATGGAAAAGGTCCCTTCGTTGCTGAGCCATTCATAGTTGCAGCTTCTTCGTATGGGGGTGGAGGTCGCGGCATGGAACGGATTTCCTCTGGCGCTGGAACCCTGCACACATGTCCATTTGTGCAGATCACGGTGAAAAAATAAATCGATTATTATACGCGTGTTACCACGTGTAAGGAGCGTTCGCTCTACATTCAGTTGACGACTGGAAAAGAGTTTAGATTCTATCATAAACTAGTAAAAAGAAGATACTAGAACAGAAGATATAAGAGACTTCTTACTGAAGACGGAACATGCCAAGCACAGCATGTTGGTTGGATTTATGATTCAATCTGAGCATAATGTACGTATGCGTATGTGTGTCAAGCTCGCAGCCGTAGCTTAGCATCAGCTACTACATAACAAATTGGAATATACGGTTGTTAGTAATGTGATTATTCGCTGTTTAATAAGTTTGTAAACCACAAGTATTAAGGTCGGACAACAATGAAAAAAGGCAATTTTTCTAAATAAGGCTAAAATTGAATAATGGCACGCGCGTCATTGTGTTTAGAATTCTATTGAGTTCTGGTTATTTCATCAATCAGTGATGAGCCACAGAGTTAATATCAATTGAAATCAATATTCCAGAAGAGATACGAACCTGGCGCTTTCAAGCGCTTTTTCTTTGGCGCGCTGTTTTTCCTTCATCATAGTAAGAGGACTCTTAAGGAGAATCGAAGCGGCCCATCCATTGCAAGCTAGTCCGCCGAGTATTAGGAAGGTATAGCGCAGACCGCACCAGTTGACAATCCTGAAAAGAACAGGCGGAATAAAGAACGAACCCAACGTTCCGCCAGCAAAGTAGATACCTGAATATCAGGCGTAAATAATCAAGGACAAAAACAGAATGAGTTTCTCCTTCTTAGGACGAAATGCCTTCCTCCATAGAGTAAATTATGATGAGTTATTTTTAAACACGCTAATCCACAATAGAAATAGCTCATCCAGTTAACACGACCGGGGATTAAGTTTTTTTTATAGTATAAAAAACGTTTTTGCCAGGATCAGATGTAGTATGCAAAAAGACGATATCCAATAGCATGTTGGTAGGCGAATAAAAATAAAAGGTCAACATTTCGTCGGTTCCACTCACCGTTGCCGGACACCCGGTTTTTTAGAAAATATTGATTGATAATGATAGCGTTGGAGAAGTACATCATGCCTTGGCCGAGGCCTACGACGACACCGAGCACAATTGTAACTACCGTTACGTGATAAACGAGACAGCAGAGCAAAAAGCCGAAAGCTACCAGAAGGACCCCCATCGCTGAGATAGGCCGTGTGTCCACATAGCGGTACAATATGCTGCATAGAATCACTGTAATAGGTAAAATTATATGAAAAGAGCGATTATCATGTATACTAAGCGCTCTGATTGATACCGTAGCGCGGGGTAACTAAACTGTTACACTACAAAATTGAGAGATTGATAGAACTACAAAGCACAAGATCAATCAGATTATTTCACTAAGCCAAGTTCTTTTCGGAGCTTCGACTTGAATTCTCTTGAATTCGATTTGAATCTGGGCTTAGATTACCAATATATATATTCGCTCAACTGAGATTGGGCATCAGAACCCTGCATCCTCTACACAAAAACTATGATTATTTGTGTTCCTATTAACAGACAAAGCGTTGCACAACCTTGATGACTTATAGAACTGACTTTTAGGATAGATCTCTAACCTAACTTTTACAAACACGCTGTCGACGAATCGAAAAGCACAGCAATCATCGGATTAATTATAAATACGCTATAATGAAAAAGGAAGCAAATACTCGTGGAAATCATATCTTTGTGTGATCTCACTTTAACTTATCTCGATAATCTTGATACGAATAGGGTACAGGTGCTAGGGTACGATACGCTAAAAAGTTGCGTCATGCTGCTCTTAAGTAAACAAAACTAATTTAAATTTTTTTGAACTAAAAAGATTCCTTTATAACATGATAGTTATGTGAAAATGCCTTATCGATAGAATAAGAGCGATAAAAGAATAAACGGCTATACGTTCTGTATTTTTTACAAACAATCACAATTTTATTTACTGAGCGTTCCCTGTTAAAAGGCCACTCAGCGGCCGAATACGTTGGCATAAAGAACACCGCCTAATTCTACTTCCTCAATCGATACGTAAGGGTGCCACTATGTAAATCGCTATAACGATAAAACGAGGTTTCTGTTTTAATTGAAATCTCTTTCGATTCCTAAATGACCTTGGTGTTAAATATAGAGGTGAGAAGGGATCATGGGTTCTGTAGACTGCTATTTCGATAGATGCCGTAATAGCCGTGAATGAATTTACGATATAGCGGCTATTTTGCCATGCTTAAACTACCAAAAATACCTCTGCTGGTTCCTTGGACGTACGGACGCAATGAAAAATTGCATTCTCATATACGACTCTAAGTGGCAAATGAGCTCAAAGGTAATAAAAAGAAACACACACAATAATTTCTTAGATAGATTTGTAGAGATAACCCGAAGTAGTACGCTTTTATCAGATGTGTATGAGTCTCTCGTTTAAGCCGAGGTCGCTAACAGATGTGAAATATACGCTTTTTATGAAGACTTCTTATTAAACGATTGTTCCATTAATCTTTATTATGTCGCACGTAGCTCTGCGTGTAAACGAAGAGTACGCTGCGAGACCGTGGATTCTAAAATCACCATGAATCTATAACGTTACAGTCTGCGATCGAGCAGTGGGTAAATAAAAACAGAGGACTAAGAAAAAATTAGATTTTTGTCCCGTTGTACGTATTGTTCGGTAATGTGATTTTTTTCACAGTACGAAAGTCAAATCACAAACGGTATCCAAACAATAACAGCGCCGACTTGTATATAATGAAGGCCCTCTGGGAACCGACTTGGGACATATCATCTGATCATCAAAACAAAATCAATCAACGATTGTTTTTATCGACAGACTGTACAGATACTTTTGTATCTGAAAGACCTTTCGTCAAACCCTTGTTGATGGTGGGGGATATCTCAAGCGACACGTTGCCATGTGTTTTATACGCTTTCTATCGAATCTATTGCCATATTCCTGTTCTTTATTTCGTGTGGGTTTCTATACTGAACATAAACGTGTTTCTTTATTCAAATTGTCTGCCAACTATGAAACATATTCCTCGCTGTACTATAAAGTTCAATATATCTATTCATTCAGTCGTTTGTTGTTATGATGACCTTCATTTGAGTGATGCGTTACGTGTATCATAGTACATTGATGAATGGCAAGATATCAGTATACTGAGAAGATTTGCGAGGCACATATCGTTTGAAGGTCTATACTTATGTGCAATAGAGAAAACACATGTAAAGCACCAAATTATGTTCGCAGTCAACCGAGTAATTCAGACGGTGGTCATAACGGTTTCACTCTGCAATTTCAACCCGATTGCGGCGGTTGGTTTACGTGTGTTAAATACAGTAATTGACCTAAACTAGAGAGCGTACGGGGGTCAAACGGCACTACCCTCGCAATTGGAAGCCTAAAAGTTAGGCAGCGTCTAATTAAACTGCTGCTGCTGCTAACTAGTCTCTTAAATATAAATCGATGTTTTCGATCCCAAGATTAACCCCATATTATACTCCACTTCAGGCTTACTCGTGTTCCATCCTGTACGTTAGTTAGTTTTGCGGTTACTCGCAGATTTGTTCTATTTTTGTCTGCTGCGGCAGATAGAACGACAGAGAAAAAGGCGGTGTTCGCTTTGGAAGTGTTCTGTTTATCCTGTGGCAAGCGTCGATAGAACCAATCAACAAACTGCATCCTCCCAAATTGGAACAAAAACACTATTTGCTGATGTAATTTTTCATATAGGAATTGATTCGCAGCATTATCATCTCTCTCTCGCTTTCTTTGCTTTTTTTCCCCGATATACGGTTCATCTCGGTAGATACCGAGGAATTTGATGGCTTCAAGTATATACAAGGTACTGAATATTTTCAAACAGCTATGAAGGATAGTGCTCTGCATACGAATGTATGCGATTTCCTCACTAGACTCTTTAGACATGACTAACCAGTGGAATACAAATATTACCGTCATCCTTTATCGTATTCAGTGCGGTAAGATAAGTTGCCGTTTATCTCGCAGATGGGTCGAACGCCAACTTTTAGAAGATCCTTACAATTCGTTAGTCCTTCGTGCGTCAGTGGCAATCTAAAGATATAATGATCGGATACTTGGTGTAATTATACTTTTCTAACATTGTTGGCCAGACACCAAGAAATTTTAGGTAAATTTACCCGCTCTTGAACCTGTTTGTCACATATCGCCCCGCGTCAATGCTGTCGTAACTCTCCAATTAAATTACTTTTGTATATTCAGCTTAGCTTAATTCGATCCCGACAGATGAGTATATACCGGACCCTGAATATCTGTCCCGTGATATCTGCTACCAGAAAAGGTACTCGTCGTAGGTCCATTAACAGCAGACATACGTTCAGTGACGGAGGCGTCACGTAGGCTAAAGACTGACTAAGTGGTTAAATACTTTCTTGGCAAAGCTACATTTAACCTTCCATCCCCTTCAAGTTGAAGGAATGGCAGATCTAGAAGTGTGGATAAAAGAAGACGACCAGGTATAGTTGAATTTGGTAACTGTACCTTGATCGCTGTTATCGTTTTAAAACTCACAGTAATGTCTATTTCGCTGTGTTTTGAGCGAGTGGCCTAGTAATTAGTACGGGTCGCACAGTTTTTGCGCAAACGTACGTTTTGTAGGCTTAAGTCCAGTGTCTTTTCTGCGTGAGGACGAGTCATTGCAGTATCTCTCTTTATTGCGCTCTTTCTTTGCGACTTGGCCTTTTTGGTAATGGTTTGAAAGGACGTTGCGTACTGAATAAAGGCGGACCATATAATAGGCTTTGCTGAACGCCAATGAGGACCGAAATCTGCCGAAAATCGAAAAACTTGTAAATCGTGTCGATATCTAAGATTGGAAACTTTATCATCCGAATTTGGCGTATTCGAAGCTACAGGATTGTATGTTGCGCACACTGAGTGGTGACAGGTTTTAGAGTTCGGGTTTTTTTTAGCTAATCGTATCACAAAAATAAGCTACCAAATCGATAAGACCCTGATGAACAAACACAAATCACCCCACTTTCAACCAATCTTTAGCGTTTCGCACGAACGTGCTTTCCATTGAATAATCTCGAAAATTTGCTCAATGAACTAGGTAGAAGGATTACTGCAGAGGGTTTCACGAATTCTCCATATGGCAGAGTGTGATACAGAGTGTGTCTGTGATTACTGATACAATTACCTTTTTTGCCAACCAGGTTGCGGGGTACATGTCTATATTTCGATGAGCTAAAGAATCAAGTAGTTAGGATATAGGGATAATTCCGCACCAGAGCATAAGGACAACTACGCAAGTGTATGTTTTTTGATCTAGCGCACGTTTACACAACCTTATACAAATTCTTAAGCATCCTTGTTCACAATCCGAAAATTTTTCTTGTTTAAAATTTACAAAAAAGAAGACAATTATCTGTCAGCGACTGCTAAGTCAAATTTTTATGGCGACAAAGGTGTCAAACTACAGCTATGCATATACACCAAACGAATAGAAGGTAAATATTTTCAGCATCTATAGTTTTCTTCATTTAGAATAAACACATATATGAATAAATCCACAACATTTTATAAGTAAACATAAAAAAAATAATAAAATTCATCCAGTGTTATTATCTCTAATAAAAACATCTAGCACTATTTGTTTGTGTCGTTACCGATTGATCTTATCAGGAGCGAATATGCACATTAAAGCATATGAAACACGATAATTGGATAAATCTAAGGCACACGCAATTGTGATGGTACTAGACAAAAATATCTACCACAGCTGCCATTGGAAGTGACCTCCGTAAGCTCTTCTGACCAATTACAGCCAATTATGGCCAGAAAATACCGGCACCGAACTGTATGCTACAGACGGCTTCGGTTTTGTTGCCGAATCTACGGAGCGTTCGGTGTTTTCCCCCGTTTCTTGACCGAAACGACAATAACAGTGACGCTGACATATGGGCCAATAAATATTCTGGAAATAATAACTAACTAAACAAATTACGTAGCTGGCCAAAAGTAACGCCAACAAGGTGGGCTCATCTGAATCGTTATGCAGGCTAGTGATAAAGGTGAACAAAGAAAGATGTCCTGACGATTCAGGCCAACATAAAATTAGCACTCAACGGAGACCACTAATGCAATGGCTCACTAGACACCTTATGTGGTATATAAATAATATTTGTGGCTGGAAAGCGCTCACGATTTTTTTACAATGGAGTCCCACAATTTGATTAAAAATTTCTTTTATTGTAGTTTATATAGTGGTCATATTAACTGTAAATCTGGTTTATGATATCGTGCAAATCGGAACATATGAATTTGTGCGCGGCGAAATCACGGGAAGTTCCACATATAAATCGACTCTACATACATTCGGTGGCACCTACGCATGTAATCGTATAACGACGTCAAAAGTGGAATAATGTAGAAATTTGGCAAACGCTAAATAAAAAAAAAACGGTAAATTTGGTAATATTGAATACAGTATAATAAATGCCCGGGTTACAAAGAACCTACAAATGATGCTGACGATGAGTTATGCTGATTTAATTATCTTATTATTAAACAAGGAGATGGAAATCAAAGCTGACGTAATTGGAACGTCTCGAAGTTGATAAACTGTTTGTGTTCTTAAAAAATTGTAAAAGCTGTAATCAGACTGTTGAAGGCACACTGCACGGACGCAGCACTCACAGTCCATTGTAATCCTTAATTGTCGCCATCAGGTACCAGACGTAGTCATAAGGGTAGAATTTACGTTTAATTTTTGTTAAGAAAACATCTTCCATATGGAAAATAAAATTACGTATTAGAAATAAATGATAATGAAAAGGGGTTGCGATAAAATACCCAAAACACGCCTCACGCATGCTACTTAAAAAGTAAGCTGTGCCATCAGTTTTTGGCATGATACCTAAGTATACCTTAGACTAACTTTTAATCTAACTCACGAGGCACAATTTAGGCCTCTTGGCACTTGTTTTTCCTATAAGGTGTTTGATATGTATCCACTTCTCTGCGAACCTGTAAAGCTGCTAACGGTATCCATTAACGAGAATGCCCAGGAGGCGTCTTGCCGGTTAATGTTGAATTCTCTTTGATAGCAGATAAACATTACACCGGCTGACCGATTGACGATCGTCAGCCAGAAAAAGTTCCATGCACAGGCGCATGCTATCAACCAAGATCTTTTTGTGTCTTGATATGCGTTCTCCATCTGAAATTGACAAATAACAAATTAGCATTGAGTTTTCGAACCTTCGAGTTATATTATAAGAGGATACTTATAGTAAATATTTGTCAGCTGCGGTCTAGAGTACCTTCCAGGCTTTACAGTACCTGGGGCAGGATCATCACTAAACGACTGATTGATTGGTGCCATCAATTAACCAATCGTGCCACGTACCAAAATGATTTGTATAAACTTGGTGCCCGCAAACCTGGTGCCCGGTAAAGCCCATTTCTACCACTACGTTTTGTGTATTCCAAGAAGGTTCATTGGTACTAGGCGAAGCTTGCCGATTGCTTTCTTGCTTTAAGATATGCCTCAAATGTACGTAAAGTATCTATCGATATTCAAACCTATTTGATTTTATCACTGATTTATTATATTTTTCCTGTATATGCGCACGACGAAGGAATTGGCTACATAAGGCATTCACTTAAATGACCCACAGCAAAAGTAGAGCAGGAAACGACTGTAAACAACATACGTTATCAAGGTGATGATGATGATTGGATCGGCCTGTAACGGCCCAAAAGGTTACTAGCTTATCAAAAGATGTCCTATTCGCCCAGGACTCTTCCTTTTTCAACGTATACAGAAGGTCATTATCCTAGTTTCAAAATAAATTACCAGAAGTGTTTAGTGGTTTCTCATGCAAACCAAATGGCGAGAACAACTGTGTTATATTCTATATGAGAAAAATAAAATAATGTGGATCTGCATTCGGGTTCATTTGGGTCATTTTGCGATTTCAGTGTACAGACTTGACTAAGAACTGGTAGTTCCTGAAAGCATGTTTCATTGCCTGTGACATTGACATTAGTAAATTCTGTACATCGTCAAAGTGCCTTTGGCCACTCTGAACTACAGAAATGTGCATTTGCTATATTACTTGTGTTAGCTTTTGCTGCTAGTCTCTCTTCTGTAATACTTCTATGGAACTCATAGCACCCTTCAAACGGAAGCCCAGATAAAAATTCAGGCGGGCTTTTTCGTTTATTCCTATATACCCACCACATGCCTTTTTTTTTTTGTCACAATATGCCACAATTTGTCAAATTTGGTAGGTAGAAAAAAAAAACACTATTTCCCACTACTGTTTTTTTTTCGCTATAGTTGGCGGCATTCAAAACAGACTATTCGCCAAACATTCTACTCAGGTATCGAAAGATGTCAGTGCCCCCGACTCAGTTATCCTGAATATATGTTACCTACCATACCGAGTCTTATCCATCTTGTTCTAAATGTAAATAATGTAAATGTAATAAAGGCAAGGCTTACGCAAGCGAACGTTTTAGCCTTTATTAGTTTTTATAAATTTGAATTTATTAGTTATAGACGAGAAGTCTTCAGATCTGTCATTCCAGATGGATGATGATCTCTCCTCCAAAACCTGATTCAGAATAACGGGACAAGGGACTGAAACATGCGTCGATTACATATTTTTGCGCCTTGGTGCGCCTGTGTTTGAAGTCACCTTGACAATCAGAAGATTTTATGCCTTTTCTAGTCACTATTCTGTTCTTGGTACTATTATGCTTCTGAAAACCGATTTGATAAGTCCGAGAGAAGTATTTAATACAAATAGTTTTAATCAAAGCTCTAATACTCTTCATTCTGTTGATTGGTCATCAATGAACCTGTTTACAAATGTGGATTTCGCCGTCAACTTCTTAAATTATACCCTATATAACATTTGCGGTACTGTTTTCCCAGTAAGGATGTATCTACCGTAAATGACCCATGCCTGGAACCTTTTCGGCGGAGCTTCGTCACCCGAGACGTTAAGAAAACGCTATGTCTGTGATGATATCGATTAGATGTTAGTCAAAAGCTGCTGCAAACGTATTTTATCAACATATTTTACGATCGTGCTAAGAAGACCTCTGCACTTGCACTATGGAACCCGAAGGTACAACTTTTAAAGGCTGAATCATACGAAAAAGCAACACTATTATTCCTTTTCCCGGAAAAGTAAATTGGAGTATAAAAAAAAAAATGGGTTCGAGCTAGGTTCACCGCTACTGCGTGCTTCCTAGGACGCTTCTTCCTGAACGTTCGCATTGCGTTTTTTTTATTTCTCACGTATCACCGAAGAACTAGAGTTGTTATCTGGCATGTGTATGAAAGCCGACATTATTGTTTCTTATACTACCATTCCATATTAAGTTTTCGACAAATATATTTTGTAATTGGCCACTTTATTAAATTTATCTTTTCAGATTTCATTTTCCAAGTTGTTTCTTTATTTAAAAGTAACAGCAATGGCGATAGGCCAGCAAACTATAGACCCATAACTACGACCCATTTCAGGTTCTAAACCCTACGAAAAGTGTACCAAACGTCAGCTGGAAACTTACTTTTCTGACACTTTTTTTTCTTGAATTCGCAATATCGGTTTCTGCGCTCCCGCTTCCTTCCGTGGTTATTGTCACCCGCCCCCTATTCTCTTATAGTCTTAATGGATGTTGCAAAGGCCTCTATCACCATCTTCCATGATGACTAATCGCTTCCTAACCGTACGCATTGTTAATATCGCCTCGAATGGTCATTTATTAGAAGATGGGCTTCAGCAAAGTTCACCCTTAGGTCCATTTACACTTATCTCCTACCTAGATACACTACGTTTCTTCGTCGAGCATCGCAGCAATAAATGCTTTATCTCGCCATTCGGTCCCCTAATGCCTTCCTAGAGAATGAGCTGGCTACCGTTATATGTACCCATGATGTACTTTATTTGTAAACATTTCGAAAACGAAGTTCCTAATGCTTCATCAAGCATCGTAAGGTGGGACAGTTATTCGATAAAGTTCATCTGCAAAGAGCCACTTCGACAGAAATTAGCCTAGCTTCGACATTTGCTGTTTAGTCTTTAAGTAGGTTTTCTTTTCACAGATACGTCCCTTCTTAAACCGGTAACTACGTACGCTATTGTCATTATAAGGGGGCAAGACATTTTTCAGGCGTTTGCCATTAACGATCGAGCTTGACGCCACTGAGGCCATCTTTAATTAGGATTAATAGCAGAAATATGTTTGGAACTATTTACCATTCTATACCCGTTACAGAGTGTTCCACTTAGAGTTGCTAAGATTTATTAGGCATTGCTCGCCGGAACTCTTGTCTCGACACTTGTTTTTGCTGTGTGAGACTGTCATGTAATTCTTGGTTTCTTCAAACTGATACGGCCTTGGAGCTTGTATGTTTAAATAATTTTTTTCATTTTAATTTATATATTACTATCCACCATTGGCTGAGGTCATATCCCTAATAATATGGCTTGCTTATATTTAATCAATTTTTGTTCTGTTTGATTAGGGAGCGTTGACGTTCGAAATGTGACCACATTTAACTCAATTAAAGGTCTCACAGGAGGGTTCATCCCAATTATGTTTTACAATGTAACGAAACCTCCATAAAGATAAATTTACGTATGATTACTATGTTTCAACTATAGTATCAAAAAAACCCAACCCAAAGAGTAATTTAATTTATAACGAAAAAGACCATAAAGATCAGCCACTTCGTTAGAAAAAGACAGCAAAAAGCCATTATCGGAAAGGGCAAACTAAAAAAAATAACATTTGCAAATTCGTTTTTTTTTTTTTTAGACTGATGATTTTGCAATAGTGCATAACGTCTGTCAACCAGAGCGTGAAACAAGTTCCTGTAGGGGGAAAGGTTTCACACGGACAAATGTAAAGGACAATAAAATATGAGGATGCCACATAGACAAGATAACATAAATACAGTAAGAACGAATGACAATTGATCACTGATTTGTGAAAGAGCATAACAACTTGTCATAGTCCTGTTTTCTATTTACCGGTGCGGTTAGGAGGCCGACAGGAAATAGACTAAGCTTATAATGCCGTTATCTAAGTTTAAATAGGACGTGTGAAGGGTTGATAGACAGTTGTTATTGTAAAACGAAGCGGCCTACCGCTGTTGCTTTTATCCGGAAACAGGCACCGTTTGCCAATGCTTGTCGAACTGGCGATAAGTACCGAAGAAATGTCAACAAACAACTCTTTTGTTACAATAAGACGTACTATATACGACGAATTATATTGATTGACAACACAGAGCACCGATACGAATCAACGGTACGATAGACATAATCCGGATAAGTTTAAAGTGTTCCAAAACCTATAAAAAGTATCGCTGAACCCAGCGTAGATCTGCTGTTTTTCGTATTCATCTAACGTACGAGGATGGATTTACGACTGTTCAAACAGACGTGCTTGAACACAAATCGAATAAACTTGAAACGATGATACCTTTGCATGTATAATTATCGGTGCTATACAAAAAAAAAAACGTCTATCTATTTTAAAAACAACAACTACACATACCTATGGAACCCAAAATCTTGCAACCTATATTTGAAGGTGAAAGGACGAACTTCATTCCATCGTGTGAGAGTCTACTTTCATATTTGATCATTTATACACCCGTAATACGATGAACTCTCGCATCATTCAAGATCGACAAAGGCTTCCGCAAATGAAGAATGAAAAGTAAAGCAGCGTCATTCAGGGCTTCAACCTTTGCTCTTATCTAGCATTATGTAAGATAACCTTGTGTAACGTGCGATGATTCATTTAAGCTAAAAGTCTCCGTATGCTCTTGTTTATTTTCGCTCATGATGAGTCGCGGTGTCGTTCTCCGGTACAGCTCTTAGGCGGACTAGTGGCGTTATATGCTTCCATTCAGTTAGCGTTTACGGCTAGAGGCGTCACCAGTCCACGCGCCGCGCCGCGCAAGCCACCCTGGACGCCAACCCCCCTCTTCCGCTTCCAGTAGTTTACTAGCAGCGATTCAGCCAAGGACGACAAACTAGGATTGGCGCAACATTTGATGGTAGTCGTCAAGATCTTCTCCTCCAACGAAAAGTCACGCGTTTGCCCTCCTGGCCCAGTGATCATGTCATCTCGGGTACGGTTGTCTTTTTACTTCCTCTTACACGAAGCCGGGAAAGGAGACGATCA